AAATTATAGTATTATAATTGTTCCAGGCGGAGGACTTGTGGAGGAGTCTAGGGGGGAAAGGGGGTTTGGATAGGTTTGTTGTAAATGAACAACATAGAGTGCGACGAACTTTCGGACCGGCGCAGTAGTACTGTTAAATTATTAAAACGGACCCCTAACAGTAAGATTGGTCATGATTTGGGCTTCTATCTTGCTTAACAGATCATGGGACTTGCTACTTGCTAACGAGGGTTAGGAATAAGGTCAGCATAGCTATAAAGACTCATAACACCCGGTTTAGGGTGTTTGTAACTGAGCTGACCTCCCACGTCTTATGACACTCAAGAAGACTTAGATTGTGTGTGTGGCCTACGAGTAACTACATCTCATAGGGAGTTTTGTATTTGTGCGTGTGCAATATGTAGCAAGTCATAAAGTATATCGTCGCATGAGCCCATAGATTTAGATACATTTACGTTAAGGAAACAGCGACTTTCTACAAACGGCACACCTTACCAGGCCCTCTCATCCCGTCTGAACGCGGCGCCCTGAAACCCAGACCTGCTTCCAAGGGGCAGATCCAAAGAGAAGAGCTGACCCTCCTGTTTAGGGTTTTGGGTTTTGTTTATAGGGTTAAGGGTTCAGTGGTTTATAGGCCTTTATAGGGTTTAGGGCCGTTTTAGGAGGCAGCCGACCGAAGAATACGGTAAGAGTTGAGCTAGTATCAAGGTGCTTGTAATCATGGCTGCTATAACTTTGCTACATATGGGCTGTAAAGCTTAAAGCTTAAAGGGCGCCAGCAAGGGTTACTGAACAAAAAGGCTACGACATAAGGGTTGCTATAGAAACAGGCGTTACTACGGTGCCTTTGTGGATCAGGGCATCGTCGACTGTGCTTCACGGCATCGGAATTTCCAGGATTTTTCAGCTTTAGGGCCTGGGGCTGTGTCCCTCGCCCTCCACCCCCGGCAGCCCAGGATCGGCCCAAAAACCCTTGCCTTGACTTGAAAGGGCCCAAAAAAAGGCTCATGAGCTTCGGATCTAGCTTGGATCACTTCACTCGAAGAGATCCTCCCCCGAATCCCTGAAACTCTTACCCCACCTTGCACCACACCGCGGCAGGGTGCTGAAAAAAATCAGAAACCCAGGGGGAACCTGGAGACTCCCCGGGCGCACCTCCAGTACCAGCAATGCCCGAAAGGAGCCTCCCATTGAAAGGCTGAGGGCTCAGAAGCCTAAACCCTAAACCCCCCAAACGCTAAACCCCCCTAAACCCCTCTAAACCCACTAGAAACCCAAAACCCTAAACCCTAAACCCCTGAACCTATCTTTGTAAGACCTCTGCAGATCTCTGCAGCCTCAGTGCTTTCGACTCTCGGGCTGCATCCCTCCGCAGCTTCACGACCCAATGTAGGGGCCTTAACAATTAGAACAGGGTTTGGGGGTATATGATACTATAATTCCAATAAGGAGCTCCCAAAATGGTACAGGTGATTATTAGGGCCTATGTATGTAAGTATGTATGTATGTATGTATGTATGTATGTATGTATGTATGTATGTATGCTTGTATGCATGTATGTGTGTGTATATATATATATATATAATACATTACCTGTTTTGCAAAGCCTTGCGAAGCCTTGCAACTTGATGTGGTAGCCCGACGTTCGCTGCCGGCCACCGTCCTGTACAACATATAGGATGCTCCAAATGTGGGCACCCTTTTTGTGACTTAACAAACCTCGACTCCAAAATCGCAGGTGCCCTGGGCAAAGCCGGAGCTCGCTGGAAGCTGTACACTGTACACTCGAAGCGCTCATGTTTGACGCTTGCGCACTGCACGTCTGGCCAGGAAGGCCTGTGCAGAGTTCAAAATTGACACTGTCGGCCTCAGCCACGTCCGAGGCCCGGGGGGCTTTGGCTTTGCGGGATCCGATGGAAGGATTCTGGGAGGGAGTGCTGCAACCGTGGGCGGTGGCACAGTACAGCTAGAAGCGGGGATGCTGCCAAGGGATGCCTCGAACAATGGGGAAACGAGGTCGTCCTTGAAGAAGATTCGCGCTGAATGTGTGTAGGTCACCAGGCTTGAGTTCTTCTGGGAACCGGTCTTTCTTGCTCGTGGATCCAGAACGCCACAGACAAGTACTGGCCTAGATTCACCACGGGAGTATGACCAAGACAAGCTTGCCTGATTGACGTAGGCGGTGTAGATCCCAACACCGTGCACGGCCCCGTTCGCGATCCTCACGCCGTTCCCTCCCTGTCCAGGGATCAGAAGACCCCGAGAATAGATGGATGACAGGTTGGACTCGTTTGTGCCGTGAAGAGCCGGCTGCAGCTCGCCTTCCCGTGCACGAGCGCAGGCACGCAGAAATCGGTCCTCTGCAGGGAAAGTCAGCATTTCATCATCTTTCATCTTACGTGTCTTGGGGCTTCATCATGTGAGGAACGAAGGACGGTGACGGACGAATGGCTTCTATACTCCAGGAGTAGACGCAGGGACGGAACTACGGAGCCTGGCACCCGACCAAGGCTTCTTCTGTATGGGTATGCTTAGTGTGCGAGGTGAAACGGCGGCAGAGCAAAGCCTGTTACTCCCTGCGCAGGTGCAAAAAACCTAGAGTTAACATGACTGCGGTCCTCCACAGCTTGAGAAAGGGGTGTGGGCTTCAAGTTCCACTGCCGGCCGCAACTCAGATACTGGACAGAAAGAGAAGCGCAGAAGGCATTGGCGTGGTCCTTCAGAAACTTCCATCGAAGCTTTTCGAACGGCGTGGCAGGTCCTGCCGATGGCAGATCATAGTTAATGTTGACCTGGTACTTACTCATCAGCTCCGGTGCCAGCTGCCGCATCTCAGCCTGGATCCTTTCAACGACGGTGGCTCGCTTGCAGCGCCTCCTCCGCTGACTTACTTTGGTGCCCCCGCTTTCTGCTCGTCCTAATTGCTGCACATACTCCTTAGCCGTGAGCTCCGCCCGGCGCAGGGCCGCCTGCCATGGGGAGATGTCGATCTTTGGAGCGCAAGGGCTCGGCGTGGCTGGCTCCAGGAACTCCCAGCCAAAGTCCGAAGCAGTGGAAGCGGTGCCGAAACCTGCTGTGGTAGAGGAGCAGACAGATGCCACCTCCAGATCCTCCCACTTGGCCTCCATCCCGCCAAGATGCTCCTTTAGGATAGCGCTGTCCTCAACCCAGTCGCTCTTGAGAGTCTCGATCTCCAGATCCATTTGTTCGTTCACGTCCTCGTTCAGCCAACGTTTCAAGCTGTTGCGGCGGGTCTGCGGATGATAGTCGTCCCGCCACAAATTGCGGCCTCAGGTGCTGGGCCCGCTGTAAGCCGCGACTCCAATTACCACCATGTACCACCGAGGATCCGCCCTACTCGCCCAGTGTTTTGTGAAGGAAATCCACACCCGATCTCCCCGTATCGGCCCTGCGTTCTGGAAAATCCGTGGAAGTCCCGATCGGCCCTACTTTGCGCTGTGCATATTTAGCCCACACCCCCAATCATCACACAAGGGGGGTTACACCTACCCCCCACAAGCCTGACAGGCTGGGATACTGCGTCGGTAGTACCTGGCTACTGATCAAGTATCTCTACAATATTCAATACTGCTTTGCTGCTATACCTAAACTGTGAAAGCTAGCGGGCCTAGCCTGAGCATGTGATCACACCCTAACCGCCCAGGTACCTACTATATAGGGCCCTAGGGGCTCTAGTACCCTATATAGTAGGTACCTGGGGGGTCAGGGACAGGGGACACACGCAAAAGAACAACTCAGATTGCCACTGCCAGAATTCACGCTGCGCTTCGCGGCCGATCGGCCCAATCCGACCTGACATCCGCGCGGAAAGGAAGTATATAGCCTTTACCCAAGGCCCCATAGTAGTTCCTTTTTGTGGCTTATATTTAGGATCCTATTAGGTAATCCCAAAAAAAGGAACTAACTTCGAGGACCAAGGTCGCTCGTTGCCGCCGGGGCGCCTCCTCACTTGCCTTCCCCATCTTTTTGGGGTTCCGGCAGCTCGCAGCGTCCAAGCGCTTGCGGTGGCCGCGCTTCATGGACCAGCCCCGCGAGGGGCCGAGGCTATCGAAGCCCAAGTCATCAAATCCATCCAGACACAGATCCATGGCTCCACGATGCGTTGAGGCTGCTGGAGGTTTGGATGCATGGGTTTGGGGATTCAAGGATATACCGATCACGTTCTCATCAGCTGCCGTGTTGCTATGCCGCCACCCCGAAGGCCAGCTACAGTATGAAGTCATGCCACAAATGCCATCATCTCATGTCTGCCCCCCCTGCCCCCCAAGGCTTCAAAACCAAGGCTCAAGGAGACAACTCACAGCACGGCGCACCTTTTTTGAAGTGCCGGAGGGCAAACTTCAAAGATCGATGCAGGTGGTTGCCGGGCGTAGCAGCCTCGCGGCCAACACTTTGTCATTAGGTGACCGAGGGCTCCGTTACCTAGATCCTCGGTTGCTGGGTTACATCTGTTGTGGCAGGGTTACACATAAGCCCCATAGTAGTTCCTTTTTGGGATTACCTAGTAGGATCCTAGCCACAAACAGGAACTATGGGGCCTATGGGTAGCAACTGAGTAACCTACTATTCAAGTCACCATTAGCTTAGTGGGGTTCAAGTTGTCTCGAACATGAGGCCGGAGCACTCGGATAGACATGGCCATGTCTTGACGCAAGGATTCGGAGCAACCCCGGGGTAATGTAAGGGCCTTAATAATTAGAATAGGGCTTTGGGGTATGATATGCTATAATTATAATAAGGAGCTCCCAAAAAAAAAAGCAGTATAGGTAATCATTCAGGCCCCTTTATTAGGCAGGCCTCGGTGAAGACGGGGAAGATCCGCGTCTGCTTCCTTCCTGCGAGGCACTATGGGAATTGGGGTACCTTCTTCCGGGGTCCTCGAAATAAGGATCCTACTATTTAGGGTGTTACTACTTTAAGGTCCCCTCTTTTCAAAAAAAAAACCATGTAGCTCCTCCGACTATAACCGCGACTCACTTGCCATGCAGAGCCGATCATCCAAATCATGAACTAACGGAGCCCTGACGCCGCGAAGACACGCTATGCCTGGTGCATGGGTCGTCCAAAAAAATATCTTCTGGTTCCCAAAGTGTCCAAGCTACTTTGTAGGTATTTGGGCCCCCGAAGTATACACTATACTATAACTTGGACCCTTTGGGGTTTAGAGCACCTAGACCCCACCATCCTAAACCGTAAAGCCCTGAACCCCAAACATCCCCACTATAGCGTAAATTGGACCCTTTGGGGTTTAGAGAGCACCTAGACCCAACCATCCTAAACCGTAAAACCCTGAACCCCCAAAACCGTTCCAGCGCGCCCGTCTCCAGACTACTCCCCAAAGGCCCCACATCCACATACACCAGCCTACTCCCCAAAGGCCCCGTCTCCAGCCTGGTTTCGAGGAGCTCGCTTTGTCGGCAAACCCGGCGCAGGAGAAGCCGAACCTGTCCGGCAAACATGCGTAAGATAGGGGGGTTTAGGGTTTAGGTTTTAGGCTTCAGGGTTTAGGTTTTAGGCTTTAGGGTTTAGGGTTTAGGGTTTAGGGTTTAGGTTTTAGGCTTTAGGGTTTAGGGTTTAGGGTTCTGAATGAATTAGAAATGCTGTACCCCTTGGAGCCCTGTAGAATTACACTTACAATAAGATCCGCCAGAGCCCTGTTGATTGTTGACGCCCCTCCAGTATTCAATGTGGAACCGCAAAGTGCGCAGTCAGAAATAGGTCAGGAATTGATCAGTGCTGGTCGCACATGTACTGCTGCGATGGACACTGCTACTGCTGTTGCTTCTTTGTTACGGTTGAAATTTGAAATTGTGATAGTCATCAGTCCTAAAGCAGTTGTTATCAATGCGGCTACTTTACCATGCTTGCTACAGTTAGTAGTAGTTCCAAATTCCGATTACTAGCTGCTGTTCACCTCCGCCACCATCATCAATGCCACACAACTCTCAAGACGTCGTACAAGTAGTAGCAAAGATAGCGCTGACAGCAACATAGCTCGCGTGATGCGCACGGGCAGTACGGCACTTTCAAAGACAGGATGTCTATATTGACTTAGCTTTCAGATGTAATGCGATGCATCTGGGACTTATTCTGGGCGAAGCCTCAATAATTAGAACAGGGTTTGGGGGGCCCATTATAGTACAATTATAATAAGGAGCCCCCAAAATAGTATAGGTTATCATTTAGGCTCAGATCCGAGGAAGCTGAGGCGCAGGCTCCTCTATGGCATCCATCTGTGAAGTGTGGCCAGGAGATGCGAGGGAAACCAATACCTGAGAAGATTCAAGTTTAGGCCCCTAAACCCTACTGTAATTTAAACCCCTAAACCCTGCAGGGGTCTGCGATTCAATTCGCTTCGGGCAAGGTTTCGCATGCGCTTGTCAGATGAGAGGCTGGCCAGCCCAGGGGCTACAAAACTGGCAATCAAACTGCAGGAAACTTGCAACAAAAGGAAGCATGCCTTTCTCCTCGGCCCTTCAAGCAGGAAGTGATGAATAATCAAGTGTGAAGAATGGAACCTCCGAATCTTTACGAATGCAAATTGGCAAGCTTCGTCGGCAATTAGGCTTGCTTGGCTGACTGCAACTCTGTGTGCGTAGCACTCTGTGTGCGTGCGTGTGCGAGTGTCTGGTCAACCTACGAAAGAAATCGACCGACCAACCTGCACATGAACAGCATTGTATACGTGCTAGGGAGCATGTACATGTGAATGCACGGCGAAAGGCTGAAACTAGGCCATTGACTGACAGACATGTCAATGCAAGTGCCGAAAGCGGAATATGAAGCATATAAGATATCAGACAAGCAAACCCACAGTGCTGAAACTTCATGCCGGGACTGTCGACGAAGCTTTACCACGGCAGACATTTGGTTTGCCAGCTCTTGCAAAAGCAAAGATCCAGGCACTGGCTGACCGCAGTCCATCTACGCCTCGGAAGCTCGTTCGGCATCAATGACCCGTCGCAAGAGCTGAAGATTGGTTCCAATGATTTGCTTGGCTGGTTCGTCATTTGTTGTTGTTGTTGCGGCTCCTTGTCTTCCTGGATCCTTATAGTGCCATTGTGGCTTCTGTGCCTTCGCTTACCTGAGGCCATAAGTTAACACAACGTCGCAGCCCAAAGTGTGCGTCAATTCACTGAGGCCGGCACGCGACAGGGACCGCAGCGTGGCTCGAAGAAGCCACACCTTCACACACAAGCCCCAAAGGGGGCGTACTCCCATTGATACTGATGTATCAAGTCATCTTCCGATGTCGTGAAATCAAGAAGAACATCAACTCCCCGTACCGGGCCTTCCGTCCACTGGCGAGCACCTAAGTCCAGCATGGGCACAAATGGCACAATGCACCGCGACATCCTCTGATAGAATGGGAATCAAGAGAATAATCCCTTCGCGGCTAATGTAAAGCTTCATGTATGTTGTATTGTTTAGCCATTTTTGATTGGAGTCCTACGATGCCAACACTTTTCCACTGCCTGAACCATCGAAGCGCAGCATGTAGAGGCCTTTTTGCGGAAGTGAAGCGGAAATCAGCAACCAAAGACCCCTGGGACCTTTTGGCACTGCAAGAGGCTCGTTCACATCAGGCCCTACGTCTGTGTCATGAGGTGCCGACATGAGTACAAGTTCCATGCAGGCCTTCGTAACTTGGACTCAACATCCGACCATGGTGCATCATCAAAGTCTGAACTTAGCCGGGGCACCAGGATTGCAATTGCACCCGGGTCCAGCTCCACATTTTCTCCTGCAGATTAAGAAGATCGGTGCGGCGGTTTCGATATGATTCCCCATCTAGGTGGCCTGAAGCAATTATAGGTCGGTACAGATATGTACCGATTCTACAATAACAGCCCGAAGCGTCCCCTGCTCGCTCGAGGTTAACTTCAACATCTTGCAACATTGGAACTTGTCTGAGAGTAGAGTACAATATACCCCCCCCAAAGCTTGTTGTAACTGTGTGCAGACTAATCATTGAAGACCCCTATATTACAACTGCTCACGCCAGGCTCTCATCTCGTTTAACGAACCCTCCGACTTCAGTTGCGTTTGCTTGCCTTCGTCATCTGCCATCTCCACTTGGAAGGAGGCCTCAGAGAGGCAGGGGCATTCTGGACAAAGACGCCCAGTATCCGACGCTCAAGACTCGCATGACTAGAATCTGCAGGGGAACATCACGCCAAGGTTCATACTATGGCAACGAATTATGGCTCAGGTCGCTCGGCTAGAACAGCACTGAGGACAACGACAGCCCTAAGCATCGTCGTGTGAGGCTGCCGTAGTTGCAATCTTTGGTATGCACAAAGCCATGTTAATACCTCGGTTTGCATTGCTGCGACTATGACGATGGCTCTTTGCACCTACCCAAGATGATGAAGGCCTTGCGCGGTTGGTCTTCGTTGGTACTAGTACTGCTCAGCACGACCATCATATCATTATTATTCTTCTGCGTGGTTCTGCCTTGGGAGTACACTTGGCTCTTGATATGCAAGCATCTGCGAAGCTGCTAAAGTGCACAAGGAGCAGAAGAGTACGAGATTTGAGTCGGTACCTTGGGAAAGTCTGAGCTTTTGACATCCGGGTCTGCGAAGACTGACAGCGGCCCTGCCACCCCTCCTTGCGCGGACCGGAGAGATTCATGGGGGGATGGGGGTATCGGCTTAGGAGCTTGATGGATAAGCTGAGTGTACACTTGGGATGGTGTACCTGCGATTGTTCCCGCGGCCCCCAGTCGGAACGCGTCGTCCACATTCAGAGGACCCGCGTAAGACTTGCGGTTTGAAGCCAGAAAAGCCCAGAATGAATGGAATCGGATCCCCCTTTGACATATGTGCCATGCGATTGCCTGTAGGATACGGGCTGCAGAACCTCTACCCGGCGGACCCTGATCCGAGAGAGAGTCGCGGAGCCTTCTGCCAGGAAATCTTTGGTGACAGCCTGCTGGCGCATATCAGGCAAGATTCATATCCATGCCTGTGATCTCAGCTAGCCTATGACAGATAAGATAATGGAGTCGAACTTCAGGGTGGAGGGCTCTCGTGCCTGCACCCCGCCACGGAAGAAGAACAGTCCCAGGAGAGCCTGCCGCAGCTGTTTTAAGTCCCTGTAAGGGTTTGGGTTTAGGGTTTAGGGGGGTTGAGGGTTTAGGGTTGAGGGTTTAGGGTTTAAGGTCTATAAGGGCCCCCGGCCCCCTTCTACGGGTTCTATCAAGGATTTTTTTGGGGTAGCTAGGGGTTGCATGAGCGCTCAGAGATTTTAGGATTTGGTCTCTTGCTTGCATCATTTAATGAAGATCCTACTGCCTGACCTGTCGGATTGCAGCTGTTCCTCCGCTCCAGGTGTAGGCGCCTGCCAACCAAAACAGACCAGAGGCTACTATAGGGGCCTTAGTAACTACCTATACTATTTTGAGGGGGTTCCTTACTATCACTATAGTATAATGGGCCCCAAAACCCTATTCTCATTATTCAGGCCCCTACAATACCTCACGGGGCACTAAGATCATAATAAGGAGCCCCCAAAACAGTATTGGTAGTTACTCAGGCCCCCATAGTACGGTCGCGTGACGCCTGGAACAAGGCTCCGCCGAGGAGCGCCAGTGCCCAGCGGCTTGGCCTCGCGAAATCGAAATACACTTCGGCTTTTTCGAAGCCAGACCCACCAATTTAGGAACCGTACCTTTAGGGTTTAGGGTTTAGGGTTTAAGGTTTAGGATTTAGGGTTTAGGGTTTAAGAACCCTGAGCCGTATAATTAAGCTTCTCTCAAACCTTTACTAGTTTAGGGTGTCTTCAAGGCCCGGGCTTAGGGTCGACTCAAAGTTCACAGGCTTTCGTCGAGCATTGCAAGCTCGACAGCTGCATGACATCTATGTCTGCGACAGTATCCCTAGACCCTCAAGCCCCCCAGAAACCCGGAATTGATGCCCAAACAAGCCCCCCGACTTTCACAGAGACGATTCATTTATCGTGCTCACTGCCTGGCCGGTGTCTCAGCCGCAGCCTGACCCGAAGCACAGCACTCTGCTGCCCGAGAGCTCATGGATTTTGCCTAGTTGTCCAAGCTACAAACACATGGGCTTTTTTGGTTGAATACTGCATTGAAGGTGAAGGTCATGAGATGCAACGGCAAGTATCAATCTGATTTGGCCTGTGCGCACGCATACTGGCCTTACAGATAAGCTTTTATGTGCTTCTTTACACTTCCAGGCCTTTGAGGTACATACATGTAAACGCAAAGAAACGAGAATAAATAGGTACCTTCAACATATAGATATAATAACTCATACTATGCAAAGAGTACGCATGCATGTTCTCGCTTTTTGACAGGCATTCCTGGCAAATGCTATCCTCCACGGCGTTTTCTGAACCTGCCACCGATGCCTCTTTGGCCGATCTCTTCGGAGCATCTGGTTGGAGAGCCTGCTAAGTTTTAGGGTTTAGGGTTTAGGGTTCAGGGTTTAGGGTTTAGGGTTCAGGGTTTAGGGTTTAGGGTTTAGGGCTTGGGGGGTTTAGGGTTTAGGGCTGGAACTTATCTTATATTTCTGGTAGCCAAATGAGGTTTAGGCTTTAGGTTGTGGGGTTGAGGTTGAACTGATGGAAACCCTACACCCTAAGCCGCGACTCATGGCAGTAAGGCTAGCAACAATGAGACCAACCTTCATATCAGTAGCAGTGGTTGTCCCCCTCCGCCCTGTCGCGGACGATGTGACAGTGGCACCTAGAAGAACCGTTGCTGTCGTACATGCATCGTGGCAGAAAGGTCAGCAGCACACACAACGAAGAAAACTAAAAGAGGCCGCAGTTAGAGCAGTCGTGGTAGTGTCAGCAAAAGCCGACGTTGTCACAGTAGTGGAGGTAGTCGTCGTCGTAATGGGGATGTGTACGGTACAAGTCTACGTATGCACGTATTTACACGTTACACAAACCTCCATTCAGATGAGCTGCTGGAATGCGGAGAGCAAGACCTTAGTGCCTTTTCAGCCTGAGCCCCATATACGCAACAAAGGCAGCATAATCAAGCAGCCAAGCCTCATGTATCGGAAGCTGGTAGGTACAGTGCTGGGAGTTTGGGGCTTCCACTTCAACGGAGTCTGTCTGAAGATTTAGGTGTGTGCAATTCCTTTGAGCGGCCTGCCGCTGTCCCGACTGCTTGAGCACAAGCCCTTGGGCTCTTGAAAGCCTAATGTCCACGATCCGGGAAAAAAAAAAAAAACGCAACCCCAAAGCCAGCCTGGACACCCTTTCCATAGAGATCAAACCTTAAAACCTTCAAGCCCTAAATATCCTAAGCCCTAGAATCCCGAAGCACCCCGCCTTCTTGTCTTTTCGGGTTCTGCCATCTTTGCTGGAGCGCTTGCCGGGTCTCATTTGGAGTTCCAGGCTTCGGGCTTGAGGATGACAGTTGTGAGTGTAGGGGTTGGGGCTTAGAGGGTTGAGGTTTAGGGCTCGGTCTGGGAGTTTCGTATTACTACCCTAAAATAGTAGGATCCTTATTAAAAGGACCTCAAGATAAGGTACCCCTGTTTCCGAAAACTCCCGTATCATATTGTATTAACACTGTTACTAAATAGGCCTTAGGCCCTAAACCCTAAAACCTAAATTGTATCTCCTCAGGTATTGCAAAAGTCCAGTTTGTTAAGGCTCCAGTGGCAACTCGCACCGTAAAGCAGGTTCAGGGGACCTTACAGCCACAGGGTGTCTCGGCAAGTAGGCATGCCAGGGTTTCAGGTCTAAGCTTTTGGCCTAGACTTTAGGATTATAGGGTTTAGGGTTATAGGGCTTAAGGTTTAGGGGCTATAGGGTTGAATGCATCTGCGGTTGAAGGTGCTTGTACTTGCTGCAAGCTCGAATGTGCCGATGATGTACCATGTCGCGACACTCGCTTCCGTTGGTATTCAAGGCCACTTCGCGGACGTGCTGATGGGATCATGTGATCAGGGTCCGAGGCCATTTTTGCAAAGCCAAGCACTGTTGCCACCTCCGGGCATGCAATCGGTACATATTGATCGTTAACGGCCGGAAGGGACACTGAACATAAAACATGCCTTGATTCCGAGGTGTAGTCTTCAGCAGATCCTGCAGTGCACGAGTATCGGATGATACTTCATGTTCCTCAGCGGAGCAGCTGATCCATCGTGCAGGAATGCGTTGATGCCCCAGGCACAGCAGACTTTCCGCACGCGCATCTTGGCTTTTGGTTTGAAGCGTCCCCTTCAAGGCCGCATCTCCTGAGAAAAGCTGAACCAGATTTCCAGTCCAAGGTGGGCAGAGGAGCAGCGGAGTCATGCTCGTAACGATGGCTACTAAGAGCTGAACTATGTTGATGTGTTGATACTCCTGCCTACGATTGATCGTGGTTGGTAATGAAAATTCCTAGGATAAGGCCTCTGTGTCAGGTCTTGCTATCAGTGTTACCGCCGCAAGCTCAACCCTGAAGCCCTCTATCCCTGAAAGCCCTGAGCCCTACAGTTCCCAAGACTGCGCCATGCCGCGGCCCCCCGGAGACTGGTGCCGTCGACCACTCAAGCAGCAGCAAGTTTAGAGTTGAGGCTCGTGGCTGGCTTTGCCCTTGTTGTTAGTTATGACCTGCTACAATTCTTGTTGCAAGTACTCTTGTAGCTACTTCTTAGTATGATGCTCCTTGCAAGAAGGAGGTCGAGAAAGTTCAGGGCCTAGGACCCGCAACAACCAAAGATCGTTCCTGTATCAGGCTTGGGCCTCTTAGCTGTCTTAGCTGGAGGGCTTCGCCATGGGCCGCCGAAGATCATGTCGGACCCGCACGATACAGACATGGGTAGTTGTCAAAACATATGGTCCCTGTTGGGGTACCCTAAATAATAGGTGCCGCATTATAATAAGGACCCAAAAAAGGACCATAATCTGACAACCACCCACATAGTGTTGTGTATTGCTTATGTATCCATTCAGTTAGTTCGTCATCGTCACATGACACGAAAGACTGCTGCACGCTGTGTCTACGCTTTTTCCTGCGTCTACCTATCGATGTACAGTCTTTAGCCTCGCGAATGTCATCAAACGTGCAATTGCAGCCTTGTTTGCAATCATTGCTTCTACGAACACTACAAGTAGGACAATACTTGTTAACAGTATTACAGTATTGCGACTACCCTTCTTGTTTCCGCTAGTAGGCTTTATTGTTGTTGTGTTGTACCTCTGGGAAAAACACAAGCTCACAGTCTCCTAACTTGGAGCATCACCCTTTTTCTGGGTCCGCCTGAAGCACCTACAAAACCGACTTTCGAAGGCAAACACAAGTATGGAAACTTCTCAAACCCACTTAAACTGCTCCTCTCAAGCTCTTGGCGGCCCCGGCGAGGCTACCCTCCAGTTTCGGGAAAAACCGAGGGCTTCGCCCCGGCATCGACCAGGAAAACTGCGAATCATATCTGGGGGGGGAGGGGTTCGGGGCTTAGGAGCGCATGATACCTCATTCGCAGGTAGAAAACCAGCAACTATGTATTTTTACGGGGCTAAGGACCGCGAGGATAGGAAAGGAAGTGCTAAAAGTTGGCACGGCGTCCGCTGCTCAAAGGAGGGACCAACTCGCTCCATGCACGAACTTGTACTTCAGTAGTTTAGCCCTCGTTTGCTCATTAATGGACAACTACGTCGTATGACCACACATCTATTCGATGAAGCCGTTGCATCTTGGATACATCTGAGGAGCGATGGTAGCCAAGACTGAGCAGGACACCACGCTGTAAAACTGCAGAAGCCCAGCTAATTCAGGGCTTCCTCCTTTGTACAAGACCGACCCTGGCCGAACGCCAAACTACCTCGTGCTTAATCGAATGCAGACACCCCTGAGTCTACACCTCTAACCCACTAGGCACGACATTCCCCACCAGCTTAGGGACCCAGCAGTAAGGGTCCGTCGCATAAAGGAGCCAAAGGTATAACAGCTACATTACTAATAAGGAACCCTCGTCTAGAACAACCCTGAAACCGGCACAGCTGGGCAAGCCCGAGACGGTTCGCATGCGAGCTTCAGAAAATTAGGGAATCGTATTCTCTCACAGACTCGTCTCTTCAGACTTCAACACCCGAAATGTGATACCCCCACAACGATTCTTCAGAACTCCTTGTGCAATCCCATAAAACCACTATGCAATCCTTATAAAGCACCTATACAAACTTATCAAGCTCTTATATACAACACTTCTAAAGACCTGCAGAACGCTGTAACCCCCGTACATCAGCCAAGGCCGGGGAAGCTTGCCACGCGGCAGAAGGTGGTCATCCGCTGCTCATGGCCGGGCATGCTGCCTCCACCTGCTTCAAGGCTGAACCGAAAGCTTATTTGATTTCGGGCTTCGGGGTCAGAGTTTTGGGTTGAGGGCTTTTTATTTTTGGTGGGTCCCTAAATCCTAAACCCTAAACCCTAGTTGAGCACTTTTTGTTTCTGGTGGGTTGGAGGACCCACCCAGGAATTTGCTGGGTGGACGCTTTTTGGATGTACCCTCCGGGAGCTGTTCAGCCCCTCTTCTCTACTCGCAAGCAAACGCTTCCTGCTTCCGTCACCCTAGGCCATCCAACAGGCTGCAACGGCTTCACATCAGAATGTAATCGTGAGTCTGCGACTGTGTGACAAACCCATATTTTACCAGGGTTGGGAAAGGCTGAGGAATAGCTTGGTGACACGGCTAGATCTAAGATGTTCGGGTTGAGGAAGTGCAGAGCTGCAACAACATCTGGTTCCACCTGTCTCCGTGTAGGCGATGTCATCACCCACCGGTGGCTGGCCAAAAACACGAAGACGGAGGCACTCCTCGGAATGTTTGGAGTTTAATTAAATTAAGGGTTTAGTTTTGTGCTTGGTGGCAATCTTTGCTTTTAGGCTTTGGCGTCTGGAGCAGTAGGAGGAGAACGACTACTGCCAGTACTAGTGCCTTGGACCCGTGGATTGATCAGAGTTGCGTACTGCCAGCCCAAACATCTCCAAGCAATTCTAGCATGTGGGTAGTTGTCAAAATTATGGTCCCTTTTTGGGTCCTTATTATAATACGGCACCTATTATTTAGGGTACCCCCAAAAGGACAATAATTTTGATAACTACCCATGTGGAGCACAGGATTCCGGATGAGCTTACTCACCGCTGTGCGCAGTGCCACCGCAGAATACTGTTGTCAACATGACTGGATCATCGGACACAAAGCACACTCCATCATATACCACTGGTTTGGTCAGGGCACATCAGGCTGCCACTGGGTCTTGTTGATCTGGGAGTAGTCCATCGCAGGAACCTCATAGCACCAGCGCTCGAGTGAGGTTGCTCACATGAGCTCGGGGCTCCAGGCGCCTGGAGCACCAAATTTGTGCCCCTACTCGTGAACGAACTATGTCTTCTAAGGAACGTCTGTAAATGTTACACTGACGATCGTATCGATTGCTGGCCGCCTCAGTTTCGGATGATCTAAAGTGCGAACGCAGGAGAAAAAGATTGGTCACCAGGACTGGAGCCCTGGCGATCACGCCTCCTCCGTAGGTGCCGCCCACAAACAGCCGCACACACCTCGGGTATGCTCTAAGTCTGGGTGGTTTGGTTCCGAAGTCGAGAGATGCCTTTAGTCTAAGACTTACATAAGAAGGACCTAATCGCGGAGGACATCGCTTTTCAGACGGACTTGCCGAGAAAAGCTACCCTCAGGGGGCCAGGTTCATGCTTTTCGTGGCAAAGAGGGCAGAGTGCGTTTGCTGTTGCCCAACCACTCCCAACTCAAACATATCACTTCAATGTTCCGGGGGTCAGAGGGGAAACAACGGAACTGCCACATTGTATGTGCAGAGGGCTCTAAGGCACTGCATGCAGGTTGCAGCTGAACCACTTAAAACCCTGACTGGCAAACAACTGCTGGGATGTGCTTGAAATTCTATTGGGCAAGAAGCCTCGCTCTGCAAATACTCTTGGGGAGTCTAAGTTGGGAAATCACCCACATCCGCTGCTGTGACCCCGGCGCTCAACCCTGCCCCTACTCGTGTGAAACCTTGAATGAGATCACTATGTCAATGCTCCAGCCTTTTGGTTGGAAAGCCTCGGAGGTCCCCATCTTTTCATGTGGGGACTGCCTGGGGGCTTTTTACCACACGACTCCACAAGACTTGTTGCACGCTTCCATACTCAGAATTTCCTGCGTCGTGCCGGCCGGGATGCTCCATGCAAGGCCCGCCGATGCCCGAGAGCGAGTTCAAAGGCAGGCACCTCGGGCTCTCACTGTAGCTTAGGGTTTAGGGCTTAGGGGGGTTAGGGTTTAGGGCTTTAGGATGGTTTCGGGTAAAAGGATCTGATGCTCTTGGTAGGTGTTGTTGCTGTTGATGTTCATCAGATCTGTCAGTGCGATCTGTCCTCATCACCATTGTTCTTAGCGTTGCTGTCGCTACCTTGCACCGTCTGTGCCTCTCCAATCCCGATCGGGATTGACATTAGCCACTCCTGCATGACGGAAGCTAAAACTCTTGAGCAACATAGCCACTACAACAATGGCAGAACAAGCGAGACGAACAAAAAAGGCACACACGATGACAGTTAGCCTTGACAAGTGCAAAAGAGCCAAGTCGAGCAGAAATGACCCCAAGAGAAACAACAATCGCTGCCCACATGTGCGTGCCTGACCGTCGTGGTGCGGCCCCAAATGTGCGAACCTCGAGTGGCGAAAGGCAGCGTCGCTTCAGCAAAACGAACCGGGAGTAGATAATTCTTGACACCGTAAGGATCGTAGGATTACGGTTCCGTCACGAATACCCTCCTCAAAAACTCCAAATCCCCTGCAACCAGGATGCTCTTCTGCAGCAGGCGGGAGAAGCTGGGCTTCTTCTCTGCCCTGGCAATGCGCCCGCGTTATTTAAATGAAACTACAGGTGGGGAGTTTAGGGTATGTAGGGCTTCTACAAGGCTTCCATAAGGTATATAGACCTTCTATAAGGCTCCTATAATGGTAACTACTCACCTGAAAATGTCCTAGAGTTATGGCTTTTGGCTACAACCCCCGGGCCCCCGGGGGCTTTCGAACCCTTGGGTCCCATAAACCTTCAAGCCCTAGCCTACTTTCTGCCTCCTGCGCCCGAACATGCTGAACGATGACAGCAAATCCCAAACGCCTAAAGCCTCCTAACACCCTAAACCCGTAAAACCCATATTCCAAGAAGTCTCTCAACATCAACCTCTTCGAGTCTTCAAAGGCCGCATCCATGTGGAAGACGTAGCTCTCTCCGTTCAAGGAGCCGTCAGGCCTCTGGCAGAATCCCAGTCGTATTTCTCGCTTATGCATCTGCAGGTACGCATGTCAATGTATGGGTTTGTCTGTATCAAAACACAATATACGCATGCTTGACTAAAAAAGCACATTGTAAGTAGTCCTCGGAAATACCGACAGATATTGGGTTGCGTTAGGTTAGACTCGATCAGCCTGGCATAGGTTAGATTACATCAGTTAGGCCAGGTTAGGGTGGGTTAGGTCGGAGGCGGTTAGGTTGTCTAGGTCAGGTTAAAGTAAATCAGCTGAGCTTAGGCTAGATTCGGTTGGTTTAGATAGATTAGTGGAAAGATAGCTCGCTAGCTAGATAGATGAATAGAAGGTATTGATAGAAGGTATTGATAAGTAGATAGGTAGAATGATATTTTGAGCACCTGAATACAAATACAGCAACTAGATACATTATGTTCTGACTCGGCACATGTCATGCGCAGCATTTTCCGAGTCTTGTTAGGCCCCACTCCACAAGTGCTAGGGTCCTCTTTTGAAGTCTGCGAAGCCACACTATCTGGCCGATGTAAGACTTGGTGGATGGCATGGGCCGCTTTACTAAGTTGAGCTTGACGGCACTTTCAATCGAACCCTGAAATGCCTGAAAGCCAGATGCTCCAACTTAAACTGAAAGACTGTATCAGACACGACGAATAAGCTGACTCTTGTGGCTGGTGGCTTCTTGTACTCGACCAGGCACTGCGCGAAAGGCGACTTCCTGCAACTTCTTGTCTGATTCTGGATGATTCTGGACTGGAATTCTAGATGGACATGAACATCCGTCGGATCGCCTGAGCTGCCAGCAGCCTCTCTGTGATCCAGGAACCATCGAAAACAGCGGCCAAAAAGGCAGTCTGAGTAGGATAGCCCCACAACCTACTATATACTGACATGAAAAAGCCCTGCTTCTGCCCTGCAAAATTCCCCGCGTTGCTCCTGCGGTCGACCTCCGTCTCCGTCGTCGTCGGCGGCTGGGCTACCGAGGTGGCTAAAAGCGCCACCCGATCCTCACAGAATCATGGAAGGGCTCTCTCCTAAAATAAGCTACACTAGGGTTTTGGGATGATTATTGAACGGCTTCTACTAAATTATGTAGCATAGGTTATTTTAGCAGACGGACGACAAAGTGGATCTTTGCTACTAACTAAATATTTATGTAAGTGTGTTTCGCAGTGCCCGACTTCTGGTAAAGCTCCAGCCCAAAGCCTTTTCTCTTCTGTGATATTAAGCAGCAAGAGTTTTATATAATATATAAGATAGGATATTATAATATGATATCATTTTAATATATAATATTCTGTTATCCGCTCAGCAAAGCAAGAACACCCATGCATCGCAGCTTGGAGCTCCTGGGTGTCGGGGCGCGCGCGCCGCAGCGCCCCGCCTCGTTGCATGGGGTTTTGTGCTTCTGGTCTACGGTTTAGGGTTTAGGGTTTTGTGCTTCTGGTCTATGCTTTTCAGGGCCATCACCTGCAAAGTAGAATACATGAGCTTGGCAACTTGGGGTGGACATCTTAGGTCGTGCTACGCCGAGCAAGCATTCAGGGATGCTTCACGCCAATCGCTGCAGAATCTCATGCATGTGGCTGTTGCTGACTAAAGACCCCCAAGTCCAGATCACAAGCAAACTGCCTCAGTTCAATCTCAGACCCTGAAATCTGAGCCCGAACCCCGAACCCCGAGACATAAACCCCAAACTCTGACCCCTAAAAAATCCCCGACGAGGCACCACCCACGAAAGCTGTACTCGCAGCTCCGATCAGCGCAAGGATGGCCAGGCCTGTGCAGAGGCAACATGGGGCTCTTTTCCAGAAGAGTTACAAGTAGTAAAATGACGCACAAAAAGACCCATGAATAAACGTTGCAGTAAGATCTGCAAAATTGCACTCCGTGCTTAAGAGGGATTATCGCTTCGCGCTCTTTGCTGACAGGGTCGAGAGACCCTGCTTTCAAACCTCTCAAGTACCCAACCCAGAGCCTCTCAGCGGCTGGCGCTGAACCGGACTGCGTTCCGAGGACCTCAGTGACCGCTGTTGACAGGAAGCCTGACTTCGGAGGGCGACCCCTGCGTGATCTTTAGCTGAAGCGCTGTCAGCACTTATCGAGGCCGGGGTCTTGAATCTATGAAAGATCCCTGAAGAAGTATCATTGAACCATGCGTGCGAAGAGTGCAAGCCTCTCCGAAAGGTCGCAGTCTTGCATTGGGGCGTCCCGAACATGCAGGCAAGTGGCGTCATCTTTTGAGGGGCGAAGAAATCACTGCGAAAATTGCTCCAGGCTCCGGGTGCTTCTTTGGCGGTAAGTACAGTACTGACATGTGGAATGAGATGCCTATTATATTAAAAGTCACACTATACTCACTAGTCTAGCCGTGAAGGATGAACGTGCGGCTTCGCGTCGAAAGGCAGGTCGCCCTTCCCTTTCTCGGGTGGGTAAACTCTAGCTTGTCGCTGCTGGCACGACGGCAACTTTCCTGCATACCGCTGTCTTGCACCCTGGAGCAAAAATCGTCAACAGCGGCAGTCAGGCTGGGTTTCTCAAGCAGCTCTTGCCAGTACCCTACCCGGACCTCAAACCCCAAACCCCCAAACCTGCATTAATTTTATCGCGCACCCAAAACCCCCAAGTCCCCAAACCCCTTGAGCTTACACCTAAAATATCACTTCATCACTAAACCCTCCCATCACTCGGCTCGACTGTTTCCGCTTCTCCGAAGCTCCGAAGTCGGCTCCCCGGCTTTGGGAGGGCTGCCGGGATCCGCGGCATCTCAGGCGCTGCGCCACCAGGTGTGCTCCGCATCATCCGGGATGTGCATGTACCTCTCTCTACATCACTCTGAAGCTTATAGCCGGAGATTTTCTGCTAGCCAACTCCTTTCTCTACTACACTAGTTACTATATCAAACATACCGCATTTTATAGCAGGTGATTTTATGTTCCCTCAACTTCTATGTTCACGCGGTGTCTCCGGGCCCGGGGTCAGAAAACCGACGGAGTGCATGGAGTATTCACTGTCAAAGCTTCTATCAGGGAGTTACAGAACCAGCTGAATTTACCAGGGCACGGAATGTCCTCGAAAACAGCTCTCGGAGCCGTTGCAATGATTTCAAGATGCTCCCACGACCTGGAAAGGCAAAGCAAAACAAGTCGAAGGAGCTGTTGTGAGACTTCTCAGGCACTTTGTTCGTTCTGGCAGCCTCGAACAGATAAACTCCACACCACGCCTGACTGCGGACTGTCTGTACGGCGAGGAATCCCGGTCTATCCCTTCCACGACAAACAACATCTCGGTGTTTATCTGCCTGACTATATAACAATGACGAATTTGCTGCAGACGAGTTGCTCCGCCACTTGTGCAAATGCTTCCTGCACCACGTCAAGCCGAGTTGACATGTCTCAAGCTTTTACAAGCGGGCCTGACGAAAACGATCTAGCACAGGGGCGCAGACCACCTCCACGGACAGCGCGATGCACCACTTTTTGAATTTTTCTCGGTCCCACATGGTATGCTCATGATTGATGATCTTACGTGGAGCTTCGGGACATGAGGGGCCCGAATAAAAAGTGAAGCTTCTTCCTAAAGCATGACCCCACATAACGTTCCCCTACACACAGGGCCCCTACCTGATAGCACATAGTACTCTAGGGCCCGTAGAGGCATTCACATGTCGAGTGCCTGTGCCGCAGCACGATCGGCCGGCTCGGCCGTCCAGCGCAGCACAGTGGAGTGGACAATATCCTTGCAGAGGGTCAGAGGTTTTGTAGAGTTCAGCGACTTACGTAGTGTCCTGGGCTCATGCTTCTTTAGGACTTTGGGCTACTACGGCTTTCGGACCGTATCTTTTGCGGATACGAGATGGGACTGGGGAGTAATTCCTAGTCACTGTATGGTGTCTCGGACTGAAACTCGAGAAAACTCATCGAGGGCAAGAGTGTACGCCGATGCAGCCGCTGAGGACATGGGCATTCAAGTTTTCTGCGTACGGTTCAGGGTGAAGGGCTTGGAGTTTGGTCCCATCGATCGAGAAGAAAAGCAGCCCTTTCACGGTCGCTGATTTCATGCGCCCAGCGTCCGGGATATGTGGCGCTGGCTCACCTGCTGGACACAGGGGAGTCCGAGATTCGAAGGTTTCGGTGGATTGATGGTTGAGGCTCGGTCACGATGGAAGCCACAACTTGGTTTCACAGCTTTCCCTGTCCTGAAGAACAGCAAACACAAACCGCGCCTGACCCGAGGCATCGAACTTCCGCACGACTAAATTCTGAGTTCTTCGCTTCACACCCCCCAACCCTTCACACTAGCCTATATAATACCCAACATCTTCAAGCTCTCTAAACCCATGCACCCTAAACGCTATAGGCCCCATTGAAACCCGCAATACGGCCTTCCGGCGTGCCCGAGGGTGGCTTGGCCTTCGAACGATCGCCTCCGCCTTGTCATGAGATCTTGTCAACAGGTACCATCCTCAATTCTGCTTCTGTTTCTTCTTGTTGTCTTCTTCCTACGATGAGTGTAAGGATTTGGGATTAGATTTGGGCCCTGCCTTCTGCAGGCTCGCCGCCGGCAGCGATGATGGCGGCACGAAGCGCCTTGCGCATGGCGGCGACGGTACCAGCCTAAAGGATGTTTTTCGGCGTGGTTGGACTCCAAAGCTTGCAGTTCGGACTTAAAGGCAGGGTATGGAGATCTCTTCTAATTTGGAAGGGGTTGACACCTAGGGACCTAGTCCCTCCTATTTCCCAACATCCTGCGACACCGGCAAACCCCAATTCATAAACCATACCCACCCACCCACCCACCCACCCACCCACCACCCCCCCACCCCCCCCACCCCCCACCCCCCAGCTGCCTCGAGGCTTAGGTCAAGGGCTACGGTACCAACAAGGGGCCTGGAGAAGCCTCGCGCCTGACAACAGCAGAAGGCACCCAAAAAGCACCCACATGTACTGCAAGCCTCGTCCTAAGACAACTCCTTAATGAATGCTTAACCCCCCAACCCCAACAGTCCAAGAGTGCTGCCTCGATCCATACATGATGTTCCTTTTGGGTGTCCTTGCTCTCTTCGTACCGGGCAGTGGGGAAAAAGCCCTGTAACAACCACAAGCAATGCTAGCACTGCAGCTCGGGGTCTAGATCCAGGTACACTCCGAAACTCTTAGCCCTGAAGTCTGAACCATAAGCCCTTTAACCCTGAGCTTCGGATCAAGCTGCCGTGTCTTCGTAGCGGAAAATGCCGGCAGATCCCTCGAGAGTCGGGCGCCCCATCTTCAATGCCACCGGGCCTGCGGAACAATCCCCGTAGCAGGCATGCATTCGCACATGCATACATGCATTCATACATTGCATAGACAGCTGTGTGTGTGTGTCTACTATGTACACATAGTACGATGTACAAACATGCCTTTCTCTGTGAAAATGTCATCTGACGATGTACTTATCAATTTACAATAGCTTCTTCGAGAGTCTGCGAAATACGCGAGGCCGAAGGTGAGGCCGCCTGCTGGCCAGCCCGGGTCCCTGCGGGCCGCGTCGAGGATCTTGCTCCAGCTCTCGGAGCTTCGCTGCTTCTCACTGGGCTCCATGCGGCCTCAAAAGGGGATTCGTTGGGAGGGGTTGCTGTGGAAACACGAGGACGAAGTGGGGATGGAGTTGTACTGAGGAGTCTGAAAGGAGGCTACGCAATACGACCCGTCCTGCAGTAAACGCCCGCAGGGTGCAGATCGTGCAGTGAAGCGTCGTGCCAGGATAGACGTATGCCTGCATGGCTCGAGAAGCTTCAGTTGAGGGAGCTTCGCTTCGGGGAGAAACGTGGCAAGCAAGACCTGCATGGCTTCTCCACCCGTCATCCCACAAACTCACGGTTGAAGTTCTGTGGGATCTTAACAAAAAGGTTTGTAGGGGGACGTGGTTTCAGGTAGATCTAGACTGTGTGCAGCCTGTAAAATGATCGAAGACTCCCATGCTTCAAGCCAGAGCGGCCTCTTTGGGCATCGCAGCCGCCAGCTTCTCCCGAAAGAGCTCATATTGTTCCAGCCTGGACTATGTACGAGCTACACAGCCCTGAAGCCCCACAAACCCCAGCACCATCTCTGAATGTCGAAAGACTCCATCAAACCCAGAATCCAAAGCTCCAGATCTTGCAGGATCTGGTCCTCTTACTCCGGTCAAGGCACACCGGCTGCGGCATGGGCCAAGAGCAGACCACCACGAGGCCACAAATATCCTCTGGAGGGGCCTTCGCAGGGATCGCATGCAGGGTTTAGTATTTGCTTTGCTTCGGTTTCAGTGCCTGGGGTTACAGGGTGCAGTGCAGCCTTTATAGAATTTGGCTCGGAGCTTTAGTTTAACTAGGGCCCAGGGTTGAAGCCACGGCAGTGCCGTTGGTGCATGCACTTCCGAAACCACTAAGCTGCGGAGACTTGAAACACCAAGGTCGAAGAAGACATCTGAGTCCGTGAACATCCGGGTCGCGGCTAGAAGGAGATGTCCCCGGCCCCCGACTGCCATGCAACTGCCTTCTAGTATGCAGCATCGGGCTTTTCCGACAACCCAGCCCCTCTATGTCATCCTGAACCACCTCAGCTCGCTTCCAAAAGCTCCCACCAAAAACCCAACAGCCTCACAGTATAAAGATTCCCCTGAGCCCTATGAGGCCTCAAACACCGAAGCTCAAATCAATACGAGTCTTAAACCGCAGTATAGGGTCCAGTCACTTGAAGACCTCCAGTCCCCGCGCCTTCTCGGCCAGCCGCCCCACATGCGCATTGGCCCATGACATCGCGAAGACCCGAATCGTGTTCGGAAACGCTATTGTTCTGTCAGTGGTTTCACTGGTTTGGGGATGTTCCAGGTTGTAACTCGACTACACTTCGGAGTACTCGCTTCATGAGCACAGCATGCTCATTGCTTCGGGCGATGCTGCGCAGCACTCTGCGATCTTCAGACATGGCGGAGCTACATGACACGAAGAGGATGGGCCCATAGGGCCTACACTCCTCCGAGCTTGTTCGGTCTGAGTACGTGAAGGACACATTTCTCACGCAGCAGGATGGAGCTCTATTCGCTTGGCACTCGCGCGCTTCACAAAGCCAAGTCTTGCTTTCAACGTTCTGGGCACAGGTTCGGGAGCATATGGTCCTCTGAAGTCCAGGGGGGTGAGGAGCTGGACCAAGGTTCGTGGGACTTGGCTTTGCTCACCTACTATCTGGCCCCAGTCAGGAGGCCACAGTATCCTCAACGGGACCTTGTCGCCAGGACTCGATGAGACCCCTGCAAACGCAGCAGGACAGCACCTGCAAGCAAAGCTCTAGGAATGCTCATAAGTTCGTTCCCGGCTTTCTGTGCTGTCTTACACTCGGCTACCTGGCACTACCATCGCTCCAACATGATCCAGCCGCTCAATGAGAGTACTCGGACAGGGAATTCATGATTCGTTGAGAAATGTTGAGACTTTCGGGCAGCAGCAAGACTTGAATGTGTGCCTGAGCAGCAGCTCCAACCCATCGGAGCTTTCAAAGCAACCCTAAACCATGTAAGTTTCCAATGCCCCTTCATCTTCAACCCTAAATCAGAACAAAGCCCTTGTAAACCCAAAACGCCCCTCGAGCACATCCTCAGACATAAGACCCTAAAAACCCTGTAAACCCCTAACCCTTCAGGCAGAAGCCCTTAAGATGCAAATGCATCGTGCCTTTTGAGCCACCCTCTCTCGGCACTTCGGGCAGAAGGGGCCGTGCTTGCAGTCTGCCGGCGAAGTATGCCGCGGAGGGTCGCGGGCTGAAGGGTTCGCGCAGGGCTCAAAGTTTGGGGTTCTGAAATATGGGTGGTTGTCAAAATTAGGGTCTCTTTTTGGGGTACCCTAAATAATAGGTGCCGTATTATAATAGGGACCCAAAAAGGGACCATAATTTTGACAACCACCCATATCAGCTCATCACACACGTCGCTCCAAAATCGCCTGAGTCTGAATTACCTGTAGAGCATCACAGCATCGTCTCAAGCATATAGACATGGGAGCCCGCAAATCGGGTCCTGGTTGGAAGACGGACCGGCAGACCAGCTGGGCATAGGCAGCCTCGCCTAGCATCACAATGATTCGGAAGAAGAGGACTTTGGTCAATCCGAGGTTTGAGGGTTCTAAGGACTTTGTGGCAAAAGCTGAACAGGAGACCATGCGATCTTCAGGGGACGGTGCACGTTCTAGTTGGAGTGCTACACAGTGCTATGGACAGGCGCTAGATCGCGCCTGGTTCTTTGCTCATGGGATATGCGCAGTTCGCGCACGTCTGGACACCTTTGGCCAAGACGTTTCCTGGGCAGCGCATGGAGTCCCAAAGAAGAGCGACAATGTCTATCCTCCTCCGGACTCATCAGTCGCAAAGCCGCTCAACAGTCTACTACCAGCTTGTCTCAAGCCTAGGATCATGAAGGCCTCGCAGTCCTAACCATGCTGCTAGGTTCAGAGTACCTCCAAAGACAAACTTTCACATGCACCGAGCCGCGAATTTTCGACCCGGGTTGTTTCGCCCTGGTCGTGGTGACCTGCGCAATGCTGGGGATTGCAAGAACCTTCCGTTTGATGACGATTCGCCTGAGATACAACTCTCAGGAAAGACCACCCGAGACAAAACCGTTAGACTGTGAGAAACCCTAAACCCATAACTCTAATCCCCAAGCTTCGGGAAACCCTGCCTCGAGCTCCTCGTGGCTCCAATCGCCGCGGCCGAGGCAGTTCACGGCGCAGACCCGGATCCTCAAAGACTCGGTGGTTTGGGAGGTTTAGGGTTTAGGGTCTCCGGGCTTGGGGGGGAGGAGGGGGGTATGGAAAGGTGAAGGTTTTGTGTGCTCAAGATTCTACGTTCCGACTTACTAACTCTCCACGGCCATCCCTCGGATTCTCATCCACTGCAGCTCCCCCGCTCGCTATCTGGGGCATGGGGATCCTCCTGAAGTCGTCAGCTCCGAGCTCCTCAGAGAATCCCGACAGCTCGACGAATCTAGGGGCCTTACCTTTAATGGGAAGACATAATAAGACAGGAGTTTTGGGGGCACATTCTACATAAAATGACTATGCTTCTAGAACCCTTAATGGGAAGACTGGAGTTTTGGGCCACATTAGACCAAAACGACTATGCCTCTAGATTCCAAGGCCGCAGGCCTGGTAACTGCCTCAGCCGGCAGGTCGAGGATGGCGCCCCACCTGCGCGTGTGTAGGGGAAGTTGAGGGTCTGATGCCGTAGTTGAGTTTGCCATGGCATTGCCCCCCTTAAAGAAACGGCCTAATGTCGCGCTCCATATTGTCCCCCTTAAAGAAAAGGCCTAATGTCGGGCTCCATGACCTGAAACGAGCCAGAAGCCCTGAGACCCAGGCCTGTCGGGTCCACCTCCAATCTCTCTACACCTCAGGTCGGGGAGGAGCTTGGAATGGGCCGACTTGTGTATCTGGCGACGGTGGCACTCCGGGTACGCAGCACTGGAACTTGGGAGGGCTGTTGGAGAGTTCTTTAGCTTACCAAGGATTGTTTAAAGTCAGGCCAATCAGCCTGGGATCTGTCTGTGGTGCGACGACGCTCTCAACAACGCCCGAAATAGGACCAGCGTCGTCATTTTGATGAGTCGAATGCTTTGAACCGATGCCCCATACTCAGTGCTTGGGACCGGGGGCCAGGCAGATTCTCGTCGATGGCTTCCTCCTGCCCACGAGTCACAGCACTGTACCGAGCTCGGGCCAGACCATGCATCTGCCTCTCTTTCCCGGTAGTGATACCCACTAGTTTAGGGTTTAGGGTTTAGGGTTTAGGGCAGCGTGGTCGAGTAACTACCCCATCACGGGGAACCCAACAAGCGGGACACCCTGGTAGGCAAGAGTGCAAGCATGACATGGGAGCTCCTGCCATGTAGATCCTTTCCCATCGCCCACTCTCCAAGCAAGGATGTACGTCTCCTGTGCCGGTACCATTCATGCTTCGGAGGTCTTAGGCGTGGCAGATGGGAAAGATTGTGGCTTGTGTCTTTGAGAAACCTTGTCGTCACTATCTGTTCCTGTCATAGTTTGAAGGGGCCTTCTCAAAGTTGCTCTTTTTTGCAGCATGCCGCGACTTGTCAACCTGCATGAGCTTGAACTGTCCCGTCTCCTCGTGCAGAGGATTGGGCTGCTGATGCGCCGTCCACAAGACCAGCACCTGCGACAACTGCATCCCACCTGCTTGGTCCCTACTAGCAGGTTGAGGAATCCACGCTCCTGCATCGTGTTCCTGTTCCTTCGGGATTGCACTGGCTTCAGGGTCCCACCTTGCCACGCCAAACCTTGAAGACAGGCCTGAATCATTAGAATAAGGTTTTCGGGTCCTTTATAGTATAATTATACTAAAGAATTCCCAAAATAATATAATAGGTAATTATTAAGTTAAGGCTCCTATATTAAAAAACAAATCCCAAGAACAACTTGCCATGGGACGCCTCCTGCGGGCCGCCGAGACGGCCGCGGAGAGAGTGCGGAGGCGAACAAGGCCTGAGACGGGAAGGCCTAGAACCTCTCAAAGTATGAGGGCTCCTGAAGTCCTACTCTTACTACCAGTCGTACCATTATCACGATTAGTACTATTAGTATTGTTGTTCCTATCATTCTTATTCTTTTATTCTTAGTACAGGCGTAGTAGGTACTATTACGACCACCGCTTGTTTGCGTGCGGCTCCAGCCGAGACCCTGGCGAGGCAAAGCGGCCCCGGGAGGCTTTCCTGGAAGGAAAGACGTCTCAAGCTCTGGCTGGCTCTGGCTGTCTTGCTCCCGATTTTCAACTGGTGCTTGGGGAGTTAAGGGCTTTGGGGTAGAGGGGTTTCGGGCTTTTCGGGATTTTGGGGGTCTGGGGTTCGAGTATAGGTATGGAGTTCAATGCCGGGATCTTAAGGAGTGTGCATAAAATGGCCTCAGTTTCAGACACCCTCCTACAGTACAACCGGGTACACCAGCAATCGGCACATTGGATAACGACGAGCATGACACGTCTTCGGACGAATCTTGCAGAAGCTCAAAAAGGTGAGCAACTCCATTCCGTTGGAACGCAAGGCTGGCAAGCAGCACGACTCGCAATCCCCGACTGCGCAGTCCTAGCCTCCGCTCTTTGCCTCATAGCCCTGAACCTGAAATCGTTGAATGCGCGGCCTCAGGATCCAATATGCCGCATCCAAGATCGCCCTGGCAATCGGAGAAGATGAGTCGATCGGAGAGGGATGCGGGTCGATCTGGCCATGCATAATTGCTGAATAACCACATCTCAAGGAGCTGAAAGCAAAACGGGCCCAATGACCGACAGGGTGCGAAGGCTACAGCCCCGGCGACAACAAAAAGAGGCGCCTGATGATGGGGTTCCCGGAAAAAGAGCGGACGACCTGCTGCGGGGCCGACTAAATGGATTTCCCGGAATACGCTCAGTCGGAGAGACCTCAAGAATGCTCTGGCAGATCCTGCTGATGATGGAATAAGGTCTGTCAACGCCAGGCCAACAGTTTACAATGCCTGACCCAGCTCCCGCCGCAGCTTCTGCTGAAGCTTCCAGAGCTCCTCTGGGATCAAGTCAGCTACGTCATAACAGGGACAGGGGAAACCAGTAGGGTTGTCACCGCCACCACCAACATCACCACGGAATTGAGACTCTCACCCCGAGGCTTGTCCTAACTCCAGGCTCCCCCACAAGGGTAAACTGCAAGTCTTGACCTGGGCCTCTCCCCGCATGGGAGCTCCTCACTGAAACCGAGGACCTGCTCCGGAAGCAGCAAGAAGGTCACCAGGACGACCTGGCAAGAAAGAGAAAGAGAGAGAGAAAGAGAAAGAGAAAGATAAAGAGAGAGAAGAAAAAACAGAGAGTGAGAGACACAGAGCATCACAGAGCCTGCTCTGAATAGCAACCTCAACCCTTTGCCAGAACCATCACATTCGGTTCGGGAGTGCTGCCTTGCAACTGAAACTGATAACAACTCCAAAACACTTCAAAACCCTGTGGGGTACATGCGATGTCTGGAGTTGAGGCTCGAGGTTCCCAGAGGCCTTGCATTGTGTCCCCACGGACTTCAATTTCTCCGCTTGAACCAAGATAAGACCTACCAGTATCGGCGATATGTACTAGGTCAACCCAGAACTGAGCCGCAACCAACGCCGAACTATGCGGTTCAAGTGCTGTCATGCATCACAACACAAGCATTCACGGCCCTGCAGCTGGGCAGTGCCTCCCTGTGATAAACGAGCCGGGGCGACCCCCAGCGACAACCAAGACACCGAGAAGCCCGAGGAATCTGCACGCAGCACAGGACCAGCATCGTCAGATTCAAACAGCACCCGACTGTCCCCTGCGACTGGTGACACGTACCCCGGCAGGGGTTCATCCGAGGACCCTCCAGGCCTCTCCGGGGGCTGTCCGGCCAGTCATCCATTGCAAGGCCATGGAGCGGCTTCTAGACTGCTAGATCTGCTAGATTGTCATATTCCAGCTGCAAGCTGATGCCTTCGAAGGCTGGGTGGCTAAGTGCGAGGGCCATGACGGGACGAGCTAGTCTGGCTGCAATGTCCTGCAAGCTCCCAGGAACGGCTTGCCTTTACGAAGCTTCCAGATATTGGTTGGCCCAAGTATTGCCGTGGTGGGGTGTCGTTATGGCGCCCGTGTATCGTGCAATATCATGGATGCTATGAGGAGCTGGCAACGAACACACGCACGGGCACAGAGAGAGAGAGAGACACGGACACAGACTCTCGTTGATGCACTTCTTGGCTACAGCAATTATGTGGAGCACCGCAGCCTGCTCCTTTTCGGTTTTCAGACACTCGCAGAGTCATGTCGTGTTCTCAGACCGCCTGCCAGAAGGCGTACGAGTTGGAGGAATTGAAACCCTGTGCTGGAAACGAAACCGACAGGCACGCTGACAGAGCTCTGGCTAGTGACACCACGGTATTGGCGCCGGGCCGGCAGGCTGCAGCAGCCGGAGGAAGCTCGGTCAAAGCCAGCCTGGCAATCAAAAAACAATGCCTCTCCATCAACACACATGCCTAGGCTCAGACCCCACTGAACTGCCGCTGCCACGTCGGCCATCGCTGCAGCTTTTCCACAACAAGCCACGTCTCGGACGGAACCTCCGTTCGTGATCGAGTTTGCGTCAAGATGCCTGCCTTTCTTATGAGGCCGACATAGTTTGAGCGATCTGCAGATAGTGCGACATACTGTGGAAAGCAAAAAGCTCCCTCGAAACCATAATTGACACAGGAGGCTCCTCGCTGAGCAACTCCTTCAACGGTGCAGCACCTGCACCCGGACGGGCCAAACCAGTGGCCTTGCTCACCAGCACGACCTCGCCTACCACATCATACCTGTCCAAGAGCTTCGCCTTTGGCTCATTGTAGTTCCGCTGCAACTTCTCGAAATACTTCTGGGAAATTCCGATTCTCAACCCTGGAATGATCTCTGTCTTCAGCTTCGGCAAGACATGAACCAGCCAAGTCTTGCAAAGGGGAATCCTGGTCACAGGATCCCAGTCGTGTACCCAATGCTTCGTGATCGAATTCAACCTCTGCCACAATGTTGAAGAGTCTCCCGGCTTCGGAGGTATCAGCACATGCGGTGCGCCGAAGGTTCGGACGGCCGCGATGTCCACGTTCCTACTCAACAAGTGCACGGCCATCACTTGAGCGTAGCCTCCTCCCAGCGAGTGGCCACAAAGGACCAGCCGATCTCCTTGTTGCAGGTGCTCCTGCAAAGCCTGCAGAACATCGTTCACAACATGACAAACTCCGTCCCCCTCTTGTTCCAATGCATGGACAATGCCACTGTGCGCCCCGATGCCGTGCTCTTTGAATCGGGTGCAGTCTGGCACGGCACTGAGGTCAATCGCAGCGTCTTGCACATCAACCGTCCCTCGGAAGGAAGGCGATGTAGAGCTCGGAGCCCGATCTGGCCAGCAGCCACTGCACGGGACTGCTGGTGCCGCTCTTTTGGATGGTGCAAAGTACGTCTACCTGCACCAGCTCCTCCAGCACGACCTCGCCTCGGAAGCCTGTGAACATATTGTAGGCATGGCCCGCCCAGACTGCTTGCTTCTGGGCCAGAGGTCGCCGAAACCGCCTGGCACGAACATCCACGAGGATTTTCTTAGCTCCACGTGTTTGAACACTTCGCGTCTCGTTAGCTTCGACTCTGTAACTGGTGTGAGTGCTCTGGGCGTACACTCGTACAGGTCTGGCCAGCTTGTTGCAGATGGACACAGCATCAGGTTCGGTTGGCCTCAAAATGCACATAGCATCCTCTTCATAAACCACATCACTCAGCACGGCGGCCTTTTCTGCGTAGGCGTCACAGTGCAAGTCAACTTGCACTTCGAAGCCACTCGGGGAATCAATAGGCTGGCTGCCGGATGTCACTTCCGAATTGGCTGAAGCAACGTCTGAATTCGAGCCTTTTGCGCCAGAATTGGTTGAGTCGAACTGACCACCAAACAACGCCCCCAGCTTTGACAACCATTCGTTTGGTGACCGTACCTCCTTGTCTCCTTCTATTTCACAGCAGTGGTTAAAAACTTTTTGAACGGCATGATGACAATTGGAAAATGCAGGATTATATGGGCCTGTGCTGTGAGCTACCTCATACAGCTCCTTCATCTTTAGCCCGCTCCTTAGCCTTCCTTGGCTGATCTTCAGCTCAATTCCGTGTCTCTTTATTCCCGCCAGACTCATCAAATTGCTGCCCAAATTTTGGCTTCCGATGAAGATGCCGTGCTTCTGATGAGCCTCCCTGGCATAGGAGCCAGCAGCCTTCTCAAGCACGTACATCTTGGCTTCATGATCTGCACCGGAGGTGTCAGAAACTGTGACGACGAGGAAGGAGTGCAGGCCGCCCAAACGGCCGGCCCAACCAGGGAGAGGCAGCGTGTACCAGGTCACCTCGGACACCTGCCTCTCATCCCGCATCATCTCATCGAAAGCATTTCCATGGCCGAACCGGGTCTCCAGAACGCGCATTCTTCTCCGCAGGACCCGATCCACGTCGCGACTCGCCGCAAGAGTCAGCGGCTCGTTTCCAGCTTTATTCTTCTCGCGCAACGGGAGGCCGACCTGGTCAACCAAAGCCTCGCAGGCCTCCACGTGCCCTGCTTCGGCCGCACAGTGGAGCCAGGTGTTGCCTTCTTCATCTCGCCAGGTGACCATGTCCTTGCGTTCCACAGCAACTGCTAGAAGACAAGAGACCGGCAGCTTGGACAAGAGCTGTGCCCAGTCATGCTGCTGGACATTTTTCAGGAGATCCGGGAAGATCTTCTTAGCAAAGTCATCCAGGTGGCCTGTCTTGCGAAGCACAACCGCAAGCCGGCGCGAATGTGCGGCTAGCTGCTTTCGTGAGAGCACGGATGCTTTCTCCAAAACCAGCGTAAATGCTGCAGTCCGAGTCGAAAGGTCGTCATGATCCACCAAGGCCACGGTCCTCTCCCAATGCTCAGTGAGCAGCACCGAAAGCACCGAGTCTGGCATCCGCTCGTGCAGCAGCTGCAAAGTCCATATCAGGAGCTGGCGCTCAGAACGCTCCAGCAAGGCAGCAATCTTCCGAACGTGGGGTGCACTCAGCTGATCCGGCAGTTGGGTCTTCATGAACTCCAATAGCCGCAGCTTACACGACGGAGGTGCTTGGCCCTCGAGCAGCACGATGATAACGTCGATGCGCTCCGTGAGACTCTCGGGCGACATCCGTTCCGTCAGGAAGCGAAAGGACCACGACTGAATTTGCGCGTCAGCCAGAAGCAGCGGCACGATCTCCTGGAAGTACTCGGTCAGCACTTCTTCCGAGATCTTCCGTTCTAAGAGATGCTGCGTGGAAACCATTGTCTGCTTATCCGTGCTGTTCAGCCAAGGCAAGAACTTCTCTGTCTGCAAAGCGATGTCTCGGCTCGGCAGTATCTCTTTCAACCGGTGTAGGGCCTCTACCGCGAACCGCCCGCCTGTGCCTAACAGTGTAACGATGGTATCTATTGCTGCGTCCGTCTTGCATCGCACCGAGAATGCGAATGTCACGATCAGCTGGACTTGCTCTGCACTCAGAATGCCCGGCAGCTGCTTCTTCAAGAACTTCAAAGCCGATGCCCGGCTCTTCGTCGGCGGATCTTTTGCACTCCAGAGATCCAGGATCAGACTGATAAGTCCGATATGCCATTTTGGTGAAATCATGTCGTCCAGCACCTCATAGGACCAGGGCTGCAGCTCTGGGTCGGCCAAGAGATGTGGCACCACTGCCTCGAAGCACTCGTCGAGGAGGCGCTTCGAGATCTTCTGCTTGAAGGCTTCCCGGGCTAGTTCCCCATAACCTGGATGCTTAAGCAGCTCGATCGGTATCTTGTCGCAGCGCGGATGCTGATTTAAAGCACTGATTAGCTCAGACCGCTTCTTCTGGCGATCCTTTCTTTTCTGCCTTTTGTGGGGATCGAAAGCGGCGGCCCCAGCTAGGGCAAGAGTACCGGCAACAACCGCCGAGCGTAGTGCAGCAGCTGTTGCAACTACTGCAGCAGCTCCAAGTCCTGCTTTTACGAGGAAAGGCCACTTAGTGTTCATGGGCGGCAGAACTAAGTCCCGAAGAATGTCGTCCAAACGCTGACGATGCTCTTCGTCATGGTGCGTCGACTTCTGCCACCCGACTGTCCGAGCATGAGAAGGTGTTTGATGGCACAGGGACTGCTGCCGGCTTCTTCGCAAAAGTGGCGTCCAACTTCCCAGCCACACCGCCACAACTCCCTTCTGGAAAGGGCGTAAGGAGCGCGAGCGGCCCGCGGCGAAACAAACCCGGACAGTCGCATGCGCTGCAAGCAGCGAGGAAGGGGCCGGGCTTGAGGGTCTCAGCTCTGCCATTTTCCCTGGCCTTGAGAAGTTAATGACTGCAGCGACTTCGGATTCAGGATTAGCTGCAGTGCGTGGGACCACGAACCGCGGGCTTGAGACACGTGTGAGTGCCAAATGCCCAGCAAGGTGCACAGCGACGATGTCAGGAAGGATTGTAGCCTATCCACTTCTAGAGATTGTTCGGTACCACTGCAGAGATCCAGGGGGACACCAGCATCACTACTCGCAATGCACCCATGCATCTTGCCAACCGAAGAACTGCAGAGTGATACCTTTGTCGCAACAACTCTCGGACACGGGGCGAGGCTATCGCAACATCACGGGAGGCAACATATTACAAGGCTACAAGCGGCTACATGCAAGGACTTCGAATCTGCACCCAAGCATGAACTGCCGCTAAAGAGCATGAAAACATAAAGCGTTGCTAAGACGCCTGGCCTGTACACTCGAACCTCTACACAAGAGAGGTTCGAGAGACCCTCAACATGCAAAAAGGAATCCTATCCAAGTTTGGCGGGTCGCAGGCGTAACACCTGGCCAAAGAGAGATCTCCAGAGGCTGGCGTCGCAAGGTCCCCATTATAGCCTGGCCAGGAGAGAGAAAACACCCGCACACTGGCGGGGTCCATATTGCCGGTCAGTGAGCAGGAGCAAGAAGGCAGAGAATATGAGAGAGAGTCCGAAAGACAGGACTCACTGAGACCGTGAATGTTCGGAATGTCTCAGCAATCTGCAAGTAAGTCCTTCTTGCTGAAGTCGTGCTGTAGGACTAATTAATAGGATAAACAGATATAGTAATTAAGCAAAACGCGAGGGCTTCGAACAATAAGAATCGTAGAGCTCTCTGTATTAAGACTCCTATAGATAAATAGCTCCCTTATATTATGTGGTTTTATAGCAAATAGGGTCAATCGGTCGAGACCTAGATATGCCGCCGCCTCTAAAGGCAAGATTTGGGTCGAAAGTCTAGAGTCCGGAGCGGCATTGTCTTGTAGGTGTGATGCAATGAGGCCCAGCAAAGAATGAGCAAGGTAAGCTAGGTGCCCAACCGATGCTCCACGGATTGATCGGTCCTACCAGGACGCAGGTTCGCAATTCGCAAACCCCGACTTCGTGACAGCAGCGAAGCATTTTGCAACAAATGTTGCAATCTGGCAGTTTGGAAATCCAAACCTTCAGCAGCTACGGCCATGATCCAGGTATTGTGAAACAGATCTGCGTGCGGGTGTGTGCGAATGTTTACTCAGCAATGCCATGTCAGTCCTGCGTCTGCTCGAGTCAGATTGCACGCAGCCTTGGACGCTCAAAAAAAATGATCACCATGGACGCCTGACACGCTCTATCTACTGCAATGCAAACCCCGCTGAACTAACTACTGATGAACAACGAACGCACTAGACGGGCTCTGGCAAAATCGTTTCGGCAGAAGCACCCAATCGGCAGAGTGCTTCTCTGGCAATATCCATTGCTGGCGACGGGAACCGTTCGACTTTGGGCGATTCGTAAAAGCGCATGAGCACTTCAGCCCATGCAGCATGCAGAGGAACGATGATTCGCCCATTGCACGGCTCGACTTGCAAACATACTACTCACGGCAATCTAATTCCCCGATGCACTGCTTAAGTCTTCAGGTGCAACCAGTCTTGCGGAGTTCACGGCCCAGAGGTAGCTGGATCACAAGTTGCACAGCATGTTTGCAATTCTCGGTGCCGCTTTCATGTGGACGCCCTCGATTTCATGTACTCAGAGATCCAAGCTGCCTTTCAGGCGCCTGCGTCAAAGGCACCGGGCCGGCGGATCGAGGCAGCCGATGCTCGTAGCTTATTCGGAGAGAGCTCCGGGCTCAAAGTCCAGAAGATGTGAGCACTGGATTGATAGGCGTCTTTCGCTCGCAGGCGAGCATCGGTATCTGAAGCCTGGACGACGAGTCGCCGACAAAGTGCATGTAAAGCTTCGTCAGCACAAGCTGACACGCAGTAGACAGAATCCTGTGCCAGACCCCTCAAGAGCTCGAGCCCCTGCTGTTTATGATCCTCGGAAAGCCTTGGGGCCAAAGTGCTCAGCGCTCTGGCAGCAAGCGCACGAACATCACCATCTCGATCCTGCGCGAAAGACTTCAAGAGCCGGAGCACATGGAAATCATCATCCTGGGACAAGTATGGCAAGAGGATGTGGAGAGCTTTGGCAGCCCATGCAAGGATGACGTCAGAATCAGTGGCCGAATCAGTCGGAAGCCTCTCAACGTATCGGGTCGAATGCTCCTTCGCCGATTTGTCCCATGGATGAGCAAACTTAGTAGCCAGGTCCTTCAACAGCTTGAGCGCCCTCGCGCGAGAACTTGCAGACATACGCGGAGCCAGCGCGTGCAGAGCCCTGGACATTGCAGCCTTGTCGCGCATCTCGTAGCAACTGACCATGAGAAACATGGCGTCGAGCACCTGCCCCTGATGAGCCTCACAGCATTGCAAACTGAGAGCATACAAAGACTCCGCAGCGGACCAGCGCACTGAATGATCTCGATCTTCCGCCATTCTCGGCAAGAGTTCCAGCACCTGGCCCGTATGGTCTGAAGAAAGGCACCACGCGAAACGGTGCAAAGCTTCCGCAGCCAATGCACGAACTTTGCAATCGTAGTCCGTGGCCAAGCCGTTCAAGAGCTCGAGTGCCCGCCCATGATGAGCCTTGGGAAGCCTCGGAGCGAGGGCGCTGACTGTGCTGGCAGCACTGGCGCGAACTTCTGCGTTGGACTCCTTGGTGGACCCCTGCAAAAGCTGGAGTGCTTGCCCCGCATGCGCTTTCGAAAGATATGCAGCGACTGCCAGTAGAGCTTCGAAAGCCCGTACCTGCATGACACTGTCAGGATATTTGGCCAAGGGCGGCAAAAGCTCAAGCACCTGATTGTGATGCTTTGCATCAAGCCTTGGAGCCAGGGCGCCAAGGGCTCTGCAGGCACGACAACAATACTCGTGTTCCAACCAACTTTCGCCATCCCGATTGCGCTCGTCGGAACTGGAAAGCTTGCCCAAGGCTTGCAACAGCTCGCGGGCGTGATGAGCGGCGACGGAGAGGGAAGGAGCGACAGCACGCAAGGCGTCGGAAATCCATTCTTTCACGACACCATCCGAAGGCTTGGCCCAATGCGCTAAGACGTGTAAGACCCTCCGCGCCTGGCACTGATGACCTGCGGAAACTCTGGGGGCCAGGATGCTCAAAGCTTTTGCAGCACAAGTACGGACAGCACGGCCGTCATTGACCAGGCCCTCCAAGAGCTCGAGTGCCTTTCCATGATGATCGTCAGCAAGCCGCGGAGCGAGGACCCCGAGAGTTCTGGCACCAGTTGCACGAACGTGAACATCATGATGCTTGGTCAAGTCGTGTAATAGTACGAGCGCCTGCTCATGATGATCTTCGGAGAGGTACACAGCGAGGGCACGTAAAGCTTCGACCGCATTCTCCAGCACCCATGGTTCGGAATCCTTTGTCAGAGATTGGCAGAGCCTGAGTGCTTGCCCCTGATGATTGGCGGAGAGGTGCAAAGCGAGGGCACGCAAAGCTTTGACGCTGTGTCGGCGCAAGTGCAGGTCAGAGTCGTTCTTGAGGCTCTGAAATAATTTGAGTGCTTGCGTGTGGTGCTGCATGGAAAGGCCTTGGGCATGGATGACTAAAGCATCAGCCGCAGCTTCGGCTGCAAAAGCCCGGGTGGCAAAGCTCGAATTGGAATCTGTGGCCAAGCCCTGCAATACCTTGAAGGCCTGGATGCCGTGATCCTGGGCAAAGCTGGCACAGCACCGGTCAAGCCACTTCTTCATTGCTTTAGCCGTCTCAAGGGCCTGTGATGGATCTTTCTGCCTGAGCCGCTTGATTCCGAATTGCACTTGCCACCGGAGCATGTCTTGGTGCCAAAGCTCATCACCGTGGTCTGTACCGAAGAGAATCTTCTCCATCTCTGCATCTTCATGCTGGGTGCCACGATTCAAGAAGCTGTTCCACAAGCACGACAGCGACCGGTCATCTGAATTCTCTTGCGTCTGCCGCAACAGCAGCATCACACATCGCGCATACAAGTCCCCTTGCCTCTCCATGTGTTGAAACCATTTCACGCAAGAGTCGGGCATCGAATCGTTCAGTGCCAGCTCGAAACGGGCCTGCTGCAAGCAAGGTGGGAGGGAAGGAGAGACAGAGATCTTCAATGAGTTTAGAAGTGTGCTATGCAAGGCGGTCGGGTGAGCAGTCTTCAGCAATTGGGCCTTGCTACTGTCAGGATCAAGAGCCAGCTTTACTTTGAGCGGGACCACACTGTCCAAATCCGCCACGGCAAGAGCGGAGTTGGAGCCCACCGTGGGCTGCACCGCCTCCAGCCTCAGCAGCTGCATGTCTGGAACTTGGAACCACCATGGACAGCATGTGACAACTGCTGGAGGACACAATGTTCCAATGTGAGTCGCAACTCAGGCTGATGCCAAAAGTTCACGAAGCCAGAAGCCCCGGGCATATGCTCGTACAAGCCAGGCCATGGTTGGTGCTCCCATGCGAGTCTATGCAGGTGACGGAGAATAGGCTTGAAGAGGACTTGCATATGCTTGCCGAAATCTTCTCTCACCTGGAACTTCATCACCATCAGCGCGTAAAGATATGCTGCTTCACAAAAACTGTCGATGGCCCCAAATGAAGCCGAGACTTTCTCCTTCATCACGCTGTCAATGGCTTGGACAAGGTCCATGAGATCTGTCAGAAACTCTTGCAAAAACCCTTGTGCACCTTCTTGAGGAACGACTTTTGACGTCGCCGCCCTCGCCATGACGCGTCTCTGGCTCGTTTCCAACGAATTCAACCGGATCCCTTGACAAATCGTGTCGCAGATTCTGTCAGCCATCGTAGCCAATGAATCCTGCAGGCCTTTAAAGCCTGCATCCACCTCGTCACGAACATGATCCAACTTGCCTCGGACAACCCACAGCCCATACCTCAGCTCGAATGTATTTCGAAAACTTACTGGGGAAGCTCCAACAAAAGGAAGCGCGACTATTGAATATCATGTCTTGATGCGGTCTGTGGTTAGTGCCTGCGGAGGACAGACGTGCTTGCCCCTTGGCCGATCGGCCATCGAGAGCAAGTTCAGCAACCTTGCTTTGCACCGATGACCTGCGCATGTTGCCTTCGAACATGAAACATCGAGCCCGATGATTGTCACTTGTCACCTGTGTGTCATGCACGTTGTGTCGAGAGCAGACGGCAGTCAAGCACCGGGCATTTCGCTGCCTTGCCACTACACCGCCTGCTAGCCTTTGGCGAGGAGTGCATAGAACAAGGGCAGCACATGTACCGTGGCCATGAACACAGGAGCAACACAGGGGAATAATTTGCTCTGCTGAAGTTGAGGGGCCATGTACCAGCAAAACCGCTGGCTACCATGGCAACACCCGCAGCTTGCGCACTGACGCCCGGGAAGAGACTGCTCATCATCTTGAAATCGATCTTCCGGAAGATGTGCCCAACCGGTTGTACCTGCTCCACCTCTGGCTTCGTGTCGATCAAGCTGCTGCCTAGTCTCCACACGACATCCTTGTAGCGCTGAGCCACCTTGAGCATTTCTGCAGGTTGGAACTTGCCCATGCCGGAAAAGCACATGTCCAGGTTCGACTTGTAGAAGCCCAGCGCGTGCGGAAGCAAAGCTTCTGCAAGACACTCCAGAAAGGCCTTGGCCTGGGAAGCCTCGCGTTCGACCTCAGAAACTGCCTTTCCGGTACCCTCCAGTGCCGCGGCGAGGTCCTGTGAGTTGTATATGTCAACAATCTGTGAGGCAATCTCGTTCGCGTCCAACTTCCCGTCCTTCAGGTCCCAAAAGAGCTGGCCGTACATTCCCACCTCGCCCCAGAATTTGAGGCTGCCATACACTCCGACGTCAAGCTGGGTAGCAGGGCAGACGTGGACGAAACTTCCGCAGGCTTCCTCTCCGTAGGCGCCATACTGAAGCCCAAGCTGTGGAAGGGCCAAGAATGTGCCACAGGCCAAATGCACAGCATCAGCGTCGCTGCTCCTCTCCTCGTCCCTCGCGTTCCAGGGCAGCCGGGGCACCTCTATGATAGGCTGTGGAACCCGTGATCCCTACACAGTCTACACTTAAAGACTTAAAGCATCCCAATGCTGCCGCTGAGTGGCGGGGTCGAACTTGTTGATGAAGCGAGCGGTGCGTTTCACCTTGCCAGCATAAGCTTCCTTGAAGTCCTCGTCACCGACCCGTGGTGAGCCGAAGGTGACGCACTCCACAGAGTAGCCCCGCATGGCCAAGTCGTAGGCCGCCAACGTTGCCAGTGCCCCTCCCAAGCTGTGGCCCGTGATTCTGACGATGCCCGGTTCCCGTTGCCTTGCACTCGCTCCGTCAACATGTGTTCCCTAGACATACCCTCCACCACGACAATGTCTACAAGTGTGTTCAAGTTACTTTCGAAGTTCGCAGCTGAGCTTTGGATGGAGACCCCCATCCTCTCTGCAAAGCTGCCGATAGCTGGACAGGAAACCGTTGTGAACTCGACCGCATTCTGACCACCCAATGCTCCCAAGATCAGACAGGCCAAAATCCAGATCGGTCAGGACCTCAACAGCAGTAGGTTCAGACGTCGGGTCTAGCCTGACCAGCCTTCTGCAGCAGTAGATCTGCCCTGCAGACTAGCCCATCATTGCGTGCTAACACGCGCCTCCTGAAAGTTGCTGGTGCCACGAAAGGCCAGCTCCACTTCAACTTTGCCATCCTGGCCAGATGGTCCGACTGCAGTGCTCAGTAGGTATGACGATCGCAATCCTCCATCTTACACCTCGAACAATGTCTATCTGCAGTCTATGCTCAGCACCCGCAACACCGACAGACACAGACACACACGGATTACTGCACCTTGCGGACGCAGCGTGCCATGGCTCTCAGCTTTCCTCGGCAGCAGCAGGCAAGTTGCACGATGACTACAGACCAAAGAGCTATCATACGCGTGCATGTGCCCATGCGCACAGTCTTCTAATGACAGCTTGCATCATCAAAGGTTCGTGAAGAGTCGTCCCCATACCAGTGTACCCAAGACCCATCGATAATGGTGTCATAGGTGTCGGTGGCGTTCTTAAGGTGCTGATAAACCCTGCACTTGTTGGCCGGCTTCAACAGCTCCACCGCCAAGTCGTCGGACTCGTCGCCTTTTGCGCTCAGACCAGGATTCGGGTGGACTGCCTTGGCCTTGCTTGTGAATGCCGTCATCGCATCCATCATCTCGACCTCTTGGACTCTCAGGTGGACCGACCTCCCGTCCGCACGGGTGCACCGGTAGAAGCGCCCCATGGGTCCTTCAACTTTACCAATCACCTGAACTTCCTCGCCCTGGAACATGGGGACTGAATCGGACGGCTCCCACTTCGTGACCGGAAGCCGTGCCAGCAGCGACTCTGACTCTGCGGCCTCTCGGACAGAGCTATAACGGTTCTCGCTTTCTCCTTCTATCCACAATTGCACTGGCGCACTGCTGTAGCCTGCTGTCTCCATGTATCCCTGCAGCTGCTGCATAACCTCCTCAGCATCACCACACCTGGACCAAACCCTTGGGAATGCCGCTGCACACAACGAAGGTTCGAAGCACCATCGGATGTTTCTCGGGGCCATGGCCGAGCGGAAGAAAGCTTTGCACACTCGCAAGCTGCTACGGCCACGGCTGAACCCAAGGCTGTGCCAGAGCGACTTGAAAAGCAAAGAGGAACATCTGCGATGCAGACTTGCCCTGCCGCAACCCCGAGTGAGTGGCTGACTCGGAAGTCGACGACATATCCTCGTCCTGAGGTTTCAAGGCTCTGGTCCCAGGGCTTTGGCACGATTTGCTACATGAGTGAAGCTGTTGGGGTTGGGGCGCCAACTTTAGAGATCCATGCATGGAACCAGATGCCCCTGTATCTGACACTCCTCCAGCATGCAAAACACTGTGGTTTGAAGATGCTTGAAACAGCCGGGAAGACAAGCTGGAAACTGCATGGAAACCACCGGTGGTTAGGCTCTGTCACACAACAGAAAACTTTGCTGAAACAGCTATGCACTCTGGCTTCATGCGGCATCTCCTCTTGCGCAAACTCAGTCCTAGCTGCGGGTATTCTACCTCTCCAATATATTGCCCTCACACCAAAACCTGTCAACTCCAGTTCCTCAAAGTCTTCGATCGGCCTGAAGCAGTCCCCTGAGCGGAGCGCACGAGCCAAGGGCTTGTTGGAGACTCCTGCAGCTGCAGGATCAGAAGCCGTCCGACCTGAACGATTTGGGCATCCCAAGGACTCGGCTTTTCAAAGCTATAGACTTGGGATGGCGAGTTTGAAGGCACCACTGGCAGAAGTTCCATCTCTCTTGGCGTTGCATGTTCTGGGCCAGATCCAGAGAGCACATCCTACACTCAAGCCAGAACCGAAAGTACAGTCTGCAAGCTGCCGATCGATCTACCCGCTAACAGATGTCAAGACTGAGTCACCCGGCCACGGCCTGGCTGAAGCCCACAGTTCCTGCGAAGGGAATTCAAATGCAGCAACTTCAACAAACGCGCAAGCGCAGTCATGATCTGGTGACGATGAAGGCGGGACATCGACCGCCAGCATCACCGTTGCAACTGGTACAAATGCTTGGATGCGCTGTACATACCAGCGGCTCGACATAAAAACAACTTGCAAGCCAGTGTTTCTACGCCATCTCTTGGCTCCTCGCTGCAGCCAGCCACCCGCTTAAGATCACCAGCACCACCTGGCCCCGGCAGAGAGAGGGAGAGGGAGAGAGACCGGGAGAGACCTGCTGAAGCATTCAGTCACAAAGCGATAGGCGCCTCACGGAAGCCGTTAAAGCAAGGACACCCTTCATCAACCAGGGGTTTGCCACTCCCATGCCGCTCCCGAACTTTCAACCAAACTTCGCTGGCCCTCGCCTCCTCTCTTTCACTTCAAGCTGAGTCGAAACCTCCATCTGATCAACGCTCTTGCGATTCAGCCACAAACCTCCCCTGCCACATCGTAGTGCTCGAAGAGTGGTGCCGTGATGTCATTGTAATTCCGCTGCAATTCTTTGATGTAATTTTGGGCCATGCCCACTCTGACCCCGTCCATGACTTCCTTCTTCAGTTTCGGTAGGACGTCGACCAACCAAGTCTTGCAAAGGGGCAGCCTGGGAACGGGGCCCCAGTCATGCACCCAATGCTCCGTGATCGAATGCAACTTCAACCACAAATTCGGAGGCTCTTGCGGCTTCGTCGGCGGCACCAGGACATGTGGAGCACCGAAGGTTCGGAGGGCCGCGACGCCCACGACCCGACTCAAAAAATGGACGGCCATCACTTGGGCGTAGCCTCCACCTAGCGAGAGGCCGCAAAGGACCAGCCGCTCTCCAGGTTGACGGTGCTCTTGCACAGCCTGGAGCACATCCGTCACCACGTTCCGAGTAGCCTGCTCTAGTGCATGGGCGATCCCACTGTGTACAGCTATGTCGTGCTCTCGAAATCTGAACGAATCTGGCACAGCGCCGAGACTTAGCATCTTGCACATCAACCATGCCTCGGAAGGCGTGGCCTCCAGATTGCTCGAGAGACTTATCTTGAAAACGAGCGCTGATGCTGTTCCCCTGACTGAGGAGTCCTCATCTTCCAAGAGCGTCATAATCCGATCTCCATGCTCCGTGAATGCCACAGCCACAGCGAGCAGCTCGAAGGGCGGCGTCCGCTCATGCAGTAGATCCAACGTCCATCTCTTCACCTTGCATTCCGAATTGTCCAGCAAAGCCACGATCCTTCTGACATGCTCTGGCCCCAGCACCTCGGGCAGCTGGGCCTTCAGGAACTCCAGGGCCGCCTCCTGCCCCCATCCAAGCCTTCTCCTCCCGGAGACGCACGATGATCAACTCAATGAGATCCCCATGCTTCGGCGGTATCCGCCCGGTCAAAATCCCAAACGACCAGGACTGCAACTCCGAATCAGCCAAAAGTGGTGGCACGATCTCGTGGAAATCAAATCCTTTTCGAGAACCTCAGTCGAGATCTGATTCTCCAAGAGTTTCCGGCTGGCGCATCTGATCTCACAGTTCGAGCTTCGCCCAGATGCCAAGACCTGGTTGAAATGCTGGCCGATCAGTCCTGCCGGCATCTTCCCGCTCAGGAGCTTTAAGGCAAGCCGTTGGACTCGCAGGCTTGGGTCGGCGAGAAGTGCGAAACTCTCAAGCTCAGCCAGCAGCTCGTTCGGCATCTTCTCCAAAAGCACGAGACATCGCTGTTTCTCTTCGGGGATTTCAATGGCGAGCAGGGCCATCACATTCTGCCAATGGGTGGCGAACGTGTAAAGTTCGCCCATGGTCGGCAAGAAGGGCAAGGACCCTGTGTCGGCCGAGGAAATGCCTCGCGCCAGACGGCGCCTTGAGCCACGAGCAAACGCAGTCTGCGCTTGATCTGAAGATACGGCCCTCTTGCGGACCTCTGGGACTCTGGGGTGTCAGGCACATCTTTGCCTGCTGACAGAAAAACGACGATGGCAAAACCCAATCGAACACTGAAAACCCTCCAGCCTTCCGGATTCCTTGAGACGTGGCGCTCAGCGGGGCATTCAGCTAAGCCGGAAGCTCCTGTGATAACAGATGGTAGGCAACACACAGCAAGAAGACAATGATGTGCATATCATACATAACATCTAGCATAAGAGACAGTACGAAGCACATATGTAGTTGCGGTCCGCTGAGTAGAACTTTCCGTGGACAAGAGCAGCCGCTTGCAATCAGGAAACTCCAACACTAAAGCAACAGGGCCTTGGCGCTCCTTTTCGCCGGCTCCAGGGATGCTAGAAGCAGGCACACACAGGGTTCCAAAGGGTGGAGAGGATTTGATTTGTTGAAAACACCTCTTCGGGGTTCGCATGCAGGTCTTGCCTTGCCGACGGGCGCCTGCTCTGGCAACTTAACTAATGATTCCCGGATATGTTTGCTCCCTTCCTGCTCCAAACTCCGGAGTTGTAGAGCCTTGACGGAGACGGACCCGCTGCAGCAGCTGCCATCAGATCGCCCAAGCTGAGCCTGGAGAGGAACAACCAGCAGCAACTCATTACCCAAAAAACTGCAAGACTTGCAAATCAGATCGTGAAAACAGGCACTGCACCTCCGTCCCTCCTGCTTTTCCAGGGCCCCTTTCTGAACAATCAGGCAACTGTCAAACGGAGGATGCCCCAACCTCCGTTTGGGATCCACAATTTAGGATAGAACCGGATAGAGAACATGCATGGCCTTGCTTATGAAGCCGTCAGTTTGTGAGCAATCTGCAGGTAGTCGTTCATGCTGTGGTAAGCAAAGAGCTTGCTCGGAGTCATCACTGACTCGGGAGGCTTCTCGCAGAACAACTCTTTCGAAGCTGCTGACCTCTCGCTCGCACGGAGGGCCACATCCGTGGCCTTGCTGACCAGCACGATCTCGCCCACGACGTCGTAACGCTCCAAGAGCTTGGCCCTGGTCTCGTTGCAGTGCTGCTGGAGTGCTTGGATGTACTTCTGGGCAATTCCGAGTCTGACTCCATGGATGACCTCATACTTCAGCTTCGGTAGGACATCAGTCATCCAGGCCTTGCAAAGGGGCAGCCTGGGGACAGGGTCCCAGTCGTGCACCCAATGCAGTGTGATCGAGTTCAGCTTCCCCCAAAACCTCTGAGATTTACGCTGTGTGATCAAGTTCAGCATCAAATCGAGTAAACAGAGTGTTGGACGATCTTCCTGTCTGGAAGGAGGCACCAGGACGTGCGGCGTGCCGAAGGTCCGGACGGCTGCGACGTCCAAGTTCCGACTCAACAAGTGGACGGCCATCACTTGAGCGTAGCCTCCACCCAGCGAGTGGCCGCAAAGGACCAGCCGATCTCCTTTTTGCAGGTGCTCCTGCAAAGCCTGCAGAACATCGTTCACAACATTGCAAATTCCATCTCCCTCCTGCTCGAGAGCATTAACAATCCCACTGTGCGCCCCGATGCCGTGCTCTTTGAATCGCTTGTAGTCTGGCACAGCGCACAGGTCAATGGCAGCATCCTCCAAATCATTTGTGCCTTGGAAGGCGACGAAGAGCACGGAGCACGATCTGGCCAGAAGCCACTGCACGGGACTGCTGCCGTTCTTCTGCGTGACATGAAGCACATCGACCGGCTGTTCGGGCACAACTGCCCCCACCTCCTGCAGGACAACATCGTCCCGAAAATCTGTGGACATGATGTACCTATGGCCGCTCCATGCAGCTTGCTTCGTTGCCAGCCGTCGCCAGGGATAGGGACCCGGAAGCCATGCAACGGCATGGACATCTACCAGAATTTTCTCAGCGTCACATCCTGCAATGGTCAACACCTCGTCAGCCTCCACTCTGTGACGGGTAGTGCTGTTGTGGTTGTACACCAGCACGGGTCTGGCCAGATTGTTGCGGATGGACACAGTGCCTGCTTCCGTTGGCCTCAAGGCTATTGCAGGATCCTTCTCGTACACAGCCAGGCTCAGAGCAGCAGCTGCTTCTGCGAAGGCGTCGGAGCGGAGGGCAACTGGGACTCCGAAGCCACTCGGAGAACCCACAGACTCGTGGCTTGAGGCCAGTTCCGAATTGGCTGAAGCAATGTCAGAATTCGAGCCTTCTGATCCAGAGCTGGTTGAGGTGAAGAGACCACCGAGCTGAAACACAGACCCAAGATGCGCCAGCCACTCGTTCGGCGGCCGTGCCTCTGTGTCTTTGTCTCTGGCACAGCAGGAGTTGAAGACCTTCTGGACCGCATGATGGCAGTTCGAAATTGCAAGATCATAAGGGCCAGTGCCGTGCGCCAATTCATAAAGCTCCTTCATCTTAAGCCCACTCCGAAGGCTTCCTTCACCGCGGGTAAGCTGCTTGTACATCTTTAGGCCACTCACGCTCCTCAAGTTACTGCCTAGAGATTGGTTGCCGATGAAGACGCCGTGCTTCTGATGGGCGTCCCTGCCAATAGACTCGGCCTTCTCGAGCACGTACCTCTTCACTCCCCTGGAGGCGTTGGAGACAGCGACAACGAGGAACGAGTGGAGGCCTCCACAACGGCCAGCCATGCGAGGAAGAGGTACCGTGTACCAGGCAACCTCGGACACCTGCCTCTCATCCTGCATCATCTCCTCAAAGGCATTTCCGTAGCCGAAGCGGGTCTCCCGAAAGTGCATCCTGCTCCGCAGGAACTGGTACACTTCCCGAGTCGCCGCAAGAGCCAGCGGGTCGTAGCCAGCTCCGTTCTTCTTGCGCAGGGGAATACCAACCTGGTCCACCAAAGCCTCGCAAGCCTCCAGGTGCCCTGCTTTGGCGGCCACATGCAGCCACGTGTTGCCTGTTGCATCTCGCCAGGTAGCAAGGAACAGGCGAGACTTCGGCAGCTGACACAAGAGCGGAGCCAGGTCGTTCTGGAGCCGCTTCGCCAGGAGACCCTTGAAGATCTTCTCTAAATTTCGGAGGTTGTCGGCCCCGCGCTCCTTCAACCAACCAAGCGCATATATTGGCCGTTCCGAGTCAGTCAGAAAAGGAGCGATCAACGCATCCGGCATCTTCTTATCCAAGAGACATAATGCTCTCTGCTGGACCAGACAAGAGGGACTGCGGAGACATGCAAGAAGCTTTGCCCAATGCTCACCGGACATCTCTGTGATCACCTTGTCAGGCATATTCTTCTCCAAGAGCTTCAGAGTTCGCTGTTGCACCTCACAGCTGGGACTGGCCAGAAGTGCCAGAACCTTGTCCCAGTGCTCCGCAAAGTGCGGGGTGCCTGCTCGATTGTACAAAAGGTGCAGAGTCCTGCATCTCGGCTCGACCTTGAGATCACTCTTCGCCAGGAATGCCACGATGTGGTTGACATGCTGCGCAGCCAAGTTGCTGGGCAGCAGCAACTCCATGAATTCCAACAAGGCTTTCTCCTTCCGGCTCCCAGCTTCCGCGCGACACAGGATGTTGAAGATCACATCAATGAGCTCAGGAACGAGCCTTTCCGCGATTCGCCTTCTCAGGAAGTCGAAGGACCACCACTGCAGCTCTGGGTCAGCCAGAAGTGGCACGATCTCGTGGAAGTGTTCAGCAAGAACCTGAGGCGAGATCTTCTGCTCGAAGAGGTCACGGGTTGAAGTATAGATCCAGCGATCTGCACTTTTCAGCCACGGGAGGAACCTCTCCAGGTGCGCAACCACCGCTTCACCTGACAGCCTTTCCCCCACAGACTGCAGCATCACTCGTACAGACACGTCGAGACTTCTCCATTTGTTCATGCTCCACAGCCTTTCCTGCGCGAAGACCAGGGCTTCTGAAGAACCTGTACTCATGTTACGGGAAGCGGCCATTCGAGAAACCACATTCTGCCACTGCTGGACAGCAGCCAGAGCATCCAGTCTTGCAGACGGCTCGGAGTTGGCCAAGCCTTGAAGAGCCTCCTTGACAGGCAAAGTGGGGCCCATCCTTGCTTTACGATGACAGCTCTAGGAGGCCACCGCGGTGCCGCTATGTGGAGCTAGAGTCTCAAGCGAAGCAAGGCGGAGACGTGAGCATGAAAGCGCAACTTGCATCTTCGCAACATGCACTGCGCTGGGCTATGCTCCAAAGAAAAGACACACGCACACACAAACACAAAAGCATGGTGCTCCCAAATCAACTTTGAGCACTGCATTCTTCACTGACCCCGGATGGAGCCCTGCCCGCCTCTCCGTAGATCTCAGCCTGGAGCAGGAGCCATGGATTCCAGTGCTCCTTTCGGTGCAAGTGTAAGTGTGGGAAGACCACAAGATCCAAGCGTTTCTGGAATGACCGGGCTGGCATGTGCTGGCTCGCCGACCCGGCTACTGTCACTCGGAGGATCCCCCAACCTCGGCTTGCGATCCATGTCAGGACACAAAACATGCATGACCTTACGTATGACGCCGTGAATGTCCGAGCAATCTGCGCGTAATCCGCCATGCTGTGGTAAGCAAAAAGCTTGCTCGGAACCATAATTGACACGGGAGGCTCCTCGCTGAGCAACTCCTTCAAAGGTGCTGTAGCTTCTGCGCGCCTTGAGCGACGAGCAAACCACAGACCCCGGCAGTCCGTCCGTCCTGCATGTGCCTCTGCATTTGACCTGGACATAAAGACCTCTGGGGATCTCTGGAATGTCAGACACATCATGGGCAGCGCTGAGCTTGGCATCAAACGGGGCACTTTTCGCAAAGCTTTGCTGCCGACAACACGACGACGGCAAAACCCACATCCCTCCAGCCTTCGGACTCTATGACGTGAAGCTCAGCGAGGTGTTCAGCTGCCTGAAGCCCATGTGGAGAGTGTGATGGTGTTGTATATATGGTAAACTGTTATTAATATAGTCTACAATTTTATAATACAAAACGTAATATAGAGTTTATGGCATGGACTAGAAAATTATCGAGGTAATACCCAATAGAACTTATAGTACTAAGAAACAACAAAACATACACCATACAGATACCATATGACGAACATGTAGTCGAATGTAACAGGGCGAGGGAAAGGTTCGAACGCTTCTCTGGCCACACCAAGGCTCACAGGCTTGGCACGACTATCCCCGTGATGATAAGTTAATCAAGGGGATTTGCACGTGCATCCTCAGTGCTTACAATGGATTCCTAGATTTTTTTGCACCCCTCAATCGTGATCTTTCCCCCTTCTCCACCGGAGCAGTAGTGCCTTGTCGGAGACTGGCCCGCTGCAGCAGCTGGCAGGTCGCACAAACCGAGCCTGGCTCCGGCCACGAGCAACCCCTTCCCCCTAAAGCTGCAGACATGCAAATCAGATCGTGGAAACTGGACCGCACCTTTGTCCTCGCTGCTTCTCCACGGCCCCCTTTCTGAACAATCAGGCAACCATCAATCGGAGGATGCCCCAACTTCCGAGTGCGATCTAAAGTTTAGGAAAACGGCATGCATGGCCTTGCTTATGAGGCCGTCAGTTTGCGAGTAATCCGCAGGTAGTCCTCCATGCTGTGGTAAGCAAAGAGCCTGCTCGGAGTCATCACTGACTCGGGAGGTTGGGCACAGAGCAAGTCTTTCGAAGCTGCCGAGCCTGCGCTCGCACGGAGGGCCACACTGTTGGCCTTGCTGACCACCACGACCTCGCCTGCGACGTCGTAGCGCTCCAAGAGCTTCGCCCTGGTCTCATTGCAATGCTGCTGGAGTCCTTGGATGTACTTCTGTGCAATGCCAACCCTGATCCCTGTGACGACCTCCTGCTTCAGCTTCGGCAGGACGTCAGTCAGCCAGGCCTTGCAGAGAGGAAGCCGCGGGACAGGGTCCCAGTCATGCACCCAATGCTGGGTGATCGAATTCAACGTCTGCCACAGTATTGAAAACTCCTCTGGCTTTGGAGGCACCAGGACGTGGGGCGCGCCGAAAGTTCGGATGGCCGCGATGTCCACGTTCCGACTCAGCAAGTGGATGGCCATCACTTGAGCGTAGCCTCCACCCAGCGAGTGGCCACAGAGAACCAATCCCTCTCCAGGCAGACGGTGCTCGTCCAAAGCTTGCAGAACATCATGCACAACATGATTGACTTCATCTCCCTCCTGCTCAAGGGCATGGGCGATCCCACTATGCACTCCGATACAGAGCTCTTTGAATCTGTGAAAGTCTGGCACGGCGCTGATGTCAATCGCGAGATCCTGCATATCATCCGTCCCTCGGAAGGCAGTGTAAAGGAAGGAGCCCGATCTGGCCAGGAGCCACTGCACCGGACTTTTGCTGCCACTCTTCTGTGTGGCATGGAGCACCTCTACTGGCTGATTCGGTGCAAAGGACACAACTTCTTGCAGAACGACATCGTCTCGGAAATCTGTGGACAACTCATAGGCATGCCCACTCCAGACTGCTTGCCTTCGACCCAGACATCGCCAGGGATAGAGTCCTGGAACCCATGCCACAGCATAAACATCCACGAAAATCTTCTCGACACCAGCTGTTTCGACACCCTGTGTCATGTTGGCCTCCACTCTGTGCCTGGCTTGGGTGTCGTGGCAGTGCAAAAGAACGCAGCTGCCCAACTGGTTGCGGATGGACACAGTGCCTGCCTCCGCTTGCTTCAGAAACATTGCGGCGTCCTCCTGGTACACAGCCAGGCTCAGGGAAGCAGCCACTTCTGCGAAGGCGTCGCGGCAGAGGTCGACGGGGCGCGTAAAGCCACTCGGGGAGTTCACAACCTGGCAGCCGGAGGCCACTTCCGAATTGACTGAAGCAAGGTCGGAACCCGAGCCTTCTGAGCCAGAGCTTGCTGAGCCGAACAGACCACCAAACATCGCTCCTAACGTTGCCAACCACTCGTTTGGCAGCCGCACCTCCTTGTCTTCCTCTCTGGCGCAGCAGTGGTTGAAGACTTTCTGGGCAGCGTGATGGCAATTCGAGCTTGCAAGATCATACGGGCCCGTGCCGTGTGCCAACTCATAGAGCTCCTTCATCTTTAGCCAACTCCGAAGGCTTCCCTCACTGAGAGTAAGCTTCATCTTGTGAATTTTGCAGCCGACCACGCTCTCCAAGTTGCTGCTGAGATCTTGGCTCCCGATGAAGATGCCGTGCTTCTGATGGGCCTCCCTGGCAAAGGAGCCCGCTGCCTTCTCCAGCACATACCTTTTCGCTCCGTGACTTATGCTGGCCGTGCCGGTGCCAGAGGTTCCTGAAACCGTAACGACGAGGAAGGAGTGAAGGCCTCCCAAGTGGCCGGCTATGTCGGGGAGAGGCACCGTGTACCATGCAACCTCGGACACCTGCCTCTCATCCCGCATCATCTCCTCGAAGGCATTTCCGTAGCCGAAGCGGGTCTCCCGGAAGTGCATCCTGCTCCGCAAGAACCGATCCACCTCGCGACTTGACGCGAGGGTCAGCGGCTCGTCACCAGCTTCGTTCTTCTCGCGCAGGGGGAGGCCGACCTGGTCCACCAAAGCCTCGCAAGCCTCCAAGTGCCCTGCTGCAGCTGCCAGGTGCAGCCAGGTGTTGCCTTTTGCGTCTCGCCATCTAACGATGTCCTCGCTGCTCCTGGCCACGAACAAACTTGATACTGGCAGCTTGTGCAACAGCATAGCCAATTCGTGCTGCGGGCAGATCTTCTTGAGAAGATCCGGGAAGATGTGCTCAAAGTTGGCCAGGTGGCCTGTCTTGAGAAGCAGGGACGCAAACCGCGGGGAATGCTCCGCAAGCTGCTCTGGTGAGAGACCGAGGCCGTGTCGTAAAATAAAGGCTGATGCTTCAGCCGTCACTGTAGGGTCTTCAATCTCCAAGAGCGGCCAGAGGATCTCACCATGCCCAGAGATCAACAAAGTTAGCAGCTGGCTGGGCATCCTGTGATGCAGAAGAGCCAGAGTCCATGTCTTCACCTTGCACTCTGAATTTGCCAGGAGAGTTGCCATCTTCCCGACATGCTCTGCTTGGAGCTTTTCCGGCAACTGCTCCTTCATGAACTCCAAGACCGCCTCCTGTCTTTCCCACGACTGCTGCTCCATGGCAAAGAATGCAACCCAATCAATGAACTCTACAAGATCCGTCGGTGAGATTCTTCCTGTAAGAACACCGAACGACCAAGACTGCAACTCCGAGTCCGCCAGGAGTGGAGGCACGATCTTCTGGAAATGCTCAGCGAGGACTCCTTCCGAGATCTTCTTCTCGAAGAGATGCCGGGTGGAAGTGTTCAACCGCGCATCTGTGCTTCTCAACAAAGGAAGAAACTTCTCCATTTGCTGAGCAATCCGCTCGCTTGGCATCTTCTCCACCACGAGATTGAGGGCTTGCTGTTGAACCTCCCAGCTTGCATCACTCAGAAGTGCAGAAAGACGCTCCCAATGCCCACTGAGCAATCGGGCGTGCGAGCGCTCATTCAAGAAGTCCACTGTCCAACACTTGACTTTGCAATCTTCATTCTCCAAGAGAGCCATAATGTGGTCGACATGGTCTGCGTCCAACTCGCTTGGCAGCTGCGCCTCCATGACTCCTGTTGCTGCTTCCCGCAAATCTTCTTGGCCATCCAGGTCATCCAGGAGCTTCGCGATTAAATCGACGAGCTCTGTGAGGTGCTGTTGCGATATCCGACCTTTCAGAAAAGCAAGAGACCAAGACTGCAACTCTGAGTCAGCCAGAAGCGGTGGAACGATCTTTCGGAAGTGCTCTGCGAGAAGTTCTTGCGAGATCTTCTTCTCGAAGAGATGCCGGGAGGACATGTTCAACCACTCATCTGTGCTTCTCAGCAAAGGCAAGAACTTCTCCATTTGCTCAGCAATCCGCTCGCTTGGCATCTCCTCAACGAGATTGAATGTTTGCTGTTGGACCTCCCAGCTTGCATCACTCATAAGTGCAGAAAGACGTTCCCAATGCCCGCTGAGCAATCGGGCGTGCGAGCGCTCATTCAAGAAGTCCACTGTCCAACACTTGACTTTGCAATCTTCATTCTCCAAGAGAGCCATAATGTGGTCGACATGGTCTGCGTCCAACTCGCTTGGCAGCTGCGCCTCCATGACTCCTGTTGCTGCTTCCCGCAAATCTTCTTGGCCATCCAGGTCATCCAGGAGCTTCGCGATTAAATCGATGAGCTCTGTGAGGTGCTGTTGCGATATCCGACCTTTCAGAACAGCAAGAGACCAAGACTGCAACTCTGAGTCAGCCAAAAGCGGTGGAACGATCTTTCGGAAGTGCTCTGCGAGAACTTCTTGCGAGATCTTCTTCTCGAAGAGATGCCGGGAGGACATGTTCAACCACTCATCTGTGCTTCTCAGGAGGGGCAGGAACTTCTCCATTAACTCAGCAATCTGCTCGCTCGGCATCTTCTCCTCAAGGAGATATAGAGACTTCTGCTTGACCATTGCCTGTGGATCGCTGAGGAGGGCGAGCAGCTTGTCCCAATGTCGGATGCAAAACTTGCGGAAGTTTCCCTGCCTCAACAGGTCTGCAGTCCAGCATTTCAACTCATGGTCAGCAGTCTCCAAGATTGCCACGATGTGGTCGACATGCTCTGCGCCCAACTCACTGGGCAGCTGATCCTTCATGACGTCCAATGCCACCTGCTCAGAGTCAATCAGCTCTGTGAGAACCGACGAATGGTGCCATGATATCCGCTTTGTGAGAAAACCCACCGACCAAGACTCCAACTCCGAGTCAGCCAAAAGAGAAAAAACTATCTTTTCGAAGTGCTCAGAGAGGACTTCTTGCGAGATCTTCTTCTCGAAGAGATGCCGGGAGGACATGTTCAACCACTCATCTGTGCTTCTCAGCAAAGGCAAGAATTTCTCCATTTGCTCAGCAATCCGCTCGCTTGGCATCTTCTCCTCAACGAGATTGAATGTTTGCTGTTGGACCTCCCAGCTTGCATCACTCAGAAGTGCAGAAAGACGTTCCCAATGCCCACTGAGCAATCGGGCGTGCGAGCGCTCATTCAAGAAGTCCACTGTCCAACACTTGACTTTGCAATCTTCATTCTCCAAGAGAGCCATAACGTGGTTGACATGGTCTGCCTCCAACTCACTTGGCAGCTGCGCCTCCATGAACCCCATTGCTGTCTCCCGCAAGTCCTCTTGGCCATCCGGGTCATCTAGGACCTTCGCGATTAAATCGATGAGCTCTGTGAGGTGCTGTTGCGATATCCGACCTTTCAGAACAGCAAGAGACCAAGACTGCAACTCTGAGTCAGCCAGAAGCGGTGGAACGATCTTTCGGAAGTGCTCTGCGAGAACTTCTTGCGAGATCTTCTTCTCGAAGAGATGCCGGGAGGACATGTTCAACCACTCATCTGTGCTTCTCAGGAGGGGCAGGAACTTCTCCATTAACTCAGCAATCTGCTCGCTCGGCATCTTCTCCTCAAGGAGATATAGAGACTTCTGCTTGACCATTGCCTGTGGATCGCTGAGGAGGGCGAGCAGCTTGTCCCAATGTCGGATGCAAAACTTGCGGAAGTTTCCCTGCCTCAACAGATCTGCAGTCCAGCATTTCAACTCATGGTCAGCAGTCTCCAAGATTGCCACGATGTGGTCGACATGCTCTGCGCCCAACTCACTGGGCAGCTGATCCTTCAAGAACTCAAAGGCCCGCAGCTGCACTGGCTGGTGCTGCGTGACTATGTGTGCCATGATCAGGCCAAATTTTGTAACGAGCTGGTCCGCTGACATCTGGGATTTCAGCAAGTCGAGGGACCAGGGCTGAGGGTTTGGGTCAGGCCAAGGCCGTGGCGCGATCTTCTGCACGTGCTCGGCGAGGAACTTCTCCAGCTGCTCCGGCGTGAGCTGGCTTGGCATCTGTCCTTGCAAGAAGCTCAGAGCCTCTGAACTCACATCGTCGCAGCGATGAGCAATCAGGGAAATCAACTTCTCCCACTGCTCCGCGAGCAGTTCGTCCGGGGCAAACGCAGAATCTACCATGCTGCGCATCAGGCATGCAAAGATATCTCTCTCCCCTTCAGAGCTTGAGCACTGCGCGTTTCGAGTGCGTGTGTGTTTTTGTACGCTTTGGTCACTACATCGCAAAAGCTCGCTCCCTCCGGTCACTTCAAGCCTCTGCGTCGTTGACCAGGAGGAAACCGAGCGGACAGCTAGGAATATCACAGAGGAACTGCACAGCCCTATAGCATCTATAAATCTCGAAGGATGTTGCAGGTTGTGCGCGCGCTTTCAAACGCTAGAAACTAGAATGTTGCATCCTTGGGATGTGGCCGGCTTGAGCCGAAAAGACGGCGTCAGCACACCTCGCTGTAACCGAAGTTTGGAAAGTTACACCGGGCCGCTGTGGCCTTGGACTTGTTTCTTGACCTCCGGGGAGTCTGATCGAAAGACATCTTTGCACCCCTGGACCTCCCATGCCTTCTGGAAGCCAAAAGGGGGCCAGGAGGTGGCGAAAGAGTTACCTTCAAAAGACCAGGTCTGGGTTTCGGTGCTGGGGTGTGTTGCCAGACCTTTGGACCTGCATCTTTGGGCTAAGGCTTGAGCAGAAGATTCCCAATGTTGCTTGTGATTGCGACATGGAAATGTATGGAAATTATCATTGAACGGCACTCAGACTTAGATGCAACGCACTTGATTCATGTGTGATTGAGGCACCTCGCTGGCAAGAGCTTCCTGCACTACGTGGGTCAACTCAGCCTTCTCTTTTCTCTTCCTGCACCCAAGAGTCTGAGCGTCTGCGGCTCAGGGAAGTGCCCACACCGCCGTCCTTCGAGGGGCATGAAGATGGCTGGGATCTGTTGGATGTTGACGGGGAGAGAAGCTGCCTCGTGAATAGAAGGACGAGCATCCTAGAGCTGCCGTCGGCTTTGTACCAGGGCGGGGGACGCCAGAGTGCTGCTCAGCAACACGGATCTGATCACGGAAAGGAACTAGCTTCTTCAGGGGCCATGGAGCACAAATCTCGCTGGAACAGTTGCTCAAGGGTTAACCTGAGACTGGCCAACGTTGACAGTCCACTGGAGGCTCGAAGCTTCAGATCCTCCACGAAGTCAATCTTCGAGCCTTACCTTCAGAATAATATATATATATATATATATACATATATATATATATATATCTTACCTTCAGCATAATATATATATATATATACATATCTATGGAATGCAAACCAGTGTCCCATCCCAGTGCCTTTTCAAAGGCCAGTCGCGGCAGCAGCTGGACGAGGATGACCAAAGCGAGCCTGGCCAGCAAACGGCCACAGGAAAACGTCCTCCAAGCTGCAAACATGAACGCAGGTAACACACTTCCTTCATTCGACGCTTTTTCCACATTTCCATGCTGGTCAAGCAGGCCGGTCTCGGGTGGAGGACACCCCAACCTCCGCTTGTGATCTAAACCTTGAAGAATAGCTGATGTATGCTACAAATTGTGCAGATCTGACTTATGAGGCCGCCAGCTTCCCAGCAATCTGCAAGTAATCCGCCATGCTGTGGTAAGCGGGTAGCTTGCTCAGAGTCATGATGGAACGAGGAGGCTTCTCGCCGAGCAAGTCCTTCAATGCTGCGGCCCCCCTTTTTGCACGGAGGGCCGAACTCGTGGCCTTGCTCACCAACACGACGTCGCCCGCCACATCGTACCTGTCCAAGAGCTTGACCCTGGATTGATTGGAGTTCCGCTGCAAGGCTTCGATGTACTTCTGCGCAATGCCAACCCTGATCCCTGTGACGACCTCCTGCTTCAGCTTCGGCAGGACGTCAGCCAGCCAGGCGCTGCAGAGAGGAAGCCGCGGGACAGGATCCCAGTCATGCACCCAATGCTGGGTGATCGAATTCAACTTCTGCCACAGTATTGAAAAATCTTCTGGCTTCGGAGGCACCAGGACGTGTGGAGCACCGAAGGTCCGGACAGCCGCAACGTCCACGTTCCGACTCAGCAAGTGGATGGCCATCACTTGCGCGTAGCCTCCACCGAGTGAGTGGCCGCAAAGGGCCAGCCGCTCTCCAGGCACACCGTGCTCGTCCAAAGCTTGCAGAACATCATGCACAACATGATTGACTTTATCTCCCTCCTGCTCAAGGGCATGGGCAATCCCGACGTGCACGCCGATGCCATACTCTTTGAATCTGTGAAAGTCTGGCACGGCGCTGAGGTCAATCGCGGCATCTTGCACATCATCCGTCCCTCGGAAGGCAGTGGAAAGGAAGGAGCCCGATCTGGCAAGGAGCCACTGCACCGGACTGTTGCTGCCGCTCTTCTGGGCAGTGCGAAGCACATCTACCAGTTGTCTCGGTGCACTTGACACTACCTCTTGTAGCACAACCTGACCTCGGAAGTCTGTGGACATGATGTAAGCATGGCCTCTCCACACGGCTTGCCTTTGGGTCAGACACCGATGGCGATAGAGCCGTGGAACCCGTGCAACTGCGCATATGTCCACGAGGATCTTCTCGACATGGCATCCTTCAAGACTGATCATCGCTTCAGCTTCCACTCTGTGGCTTTTCTGTGTGCTGTGGTCGTACACGTCCACCGGTCTGGCCAGCCTGTTGCGGATGGAGACAGCATCAGGCTCCAGCGGCTTCAAGACTGCCACGACATCCTCCTCGTACGCGGCGTGGCTCAGCACGGCGGCCATTTCTGCAACGGCATCGCGGCGGAGATCCACAGGCTCTCCGAAGCCACTCGGAAAATCCGTGGAAGGGCTTCCTGAGGCCATTTCCGAATTCGCTGAAGCAACATCTGATCCAGAGCCTTCGGAGCAGCAACTGGTCGAGCTGAGCAAACCATCCAGCTGAAAAATCGACCCCAGCTGTGCAAGCCAGTAGTTCGGAGGTCGAGCCTCAGTGGTTGTAGACTCTTTGGGCAGCGTGGTGGCAGTTCGATGTTGCAAGATGGTACGGGCCCGTGCCGTGAGCCTTCTCGTAAAGCTCCTTCATCTTTAGCCCTCTCCGCAGGCTGCCGTCACTGAGGGTCAGCTGTGTCTTGTGCATCTTCAAACCCTCCACACTCTTCAAGTTGCGGCTCAGATCTTGGCTGCCTATGAAAACGCCATGCTTCTGATGGGCCTCCCTGCCACAGGACCCACCCTTCTCAAGCACGTATGTCTTTGTTCCCTGATCCGTGCCAAAGACAGCAACGGTGAGGAAGGAGTGAAGGCCTCCAAGTTGGCCAGCGATGTCTGGGAGAGGCACCGTGTACCAGGTCACCTCAGAAACCAACCTCTCATCTTGCGCCATCTCTTGGAAAGCATTCCCGTAGCCGAACCGCGTCTCCTGGTAGCCCATCCTGCTCCTCAGGAAGCGATCCACTGCACGACTCGCCGCGATGGCCAGTGGCTCCTCGCCAGCCTTGTTCTTCTCGCGCAGGGGGAGGCCGACTTGGTCTACCAAAGCCTCGCAAGCCTCCAGGTGCCCCGCTTCGGCAGCGACGTGCAGCCAGGTGTTGCCTTCTGTGTCTCGCCAGCTAGCAATAGGCGCCCTTGGCATTTCCGCGAGCAGGCAAGAGAAAGGTAGCTTGCACAAGAGCATCGCCAATTCGTCCTTGGGCGGTCTGCTCTGCAGCAGAGTCAGAAAGATCGTGTCAAACTTCGCCAAAAGGCCGGCTTTGCGAAGCAGCGCTGCCAGTTGCTGCGACTGCTCTGTTGCGAGACGCTCTCTCAGGAAGCGAAACGACCAAGGCTGCAAGCTCGAGCCCATTAACAGCGGCAGTCCGATCCTCCCGAAGTGCTCAGCGAGGACTTCTCTCGTGAGCTTCTGCTCGAAAAGGCGCCGGCTGGCCTTCTCGGTTCGTGAATTCCCATTCTCCAGATGAACCAAAAAGCTCTCGAACTGCTCAATGAGAAGTCTGACAGGCAGTCGCTGGTTCAAGAGATCCGCTGTCCAGCAGACTACGTATTCATCGCTATTCGCCAAGAGTGCAACGATGTGCACGACATGGTCTGCCTCCAACTCGCCGGGCAGCTGCTCCTTCATGAACTCCAACGCCCGCTGCTTCAACGTCCAGTCTTGATCAGCTAGGCGGACCATGATGACATCCAGGTTAGCAAGCAGCTGGTTTGCTGATATCTTGGGCCTCAGGAAGTCGAAGGACCACGACTGCAGGCGTGGGTCACCGAGAAGCGGTGGAACGATCTTTTGGAAGTGCCACTCGAGCAACTCAGTCGAGATCTTCCTTTCGAAGAGGCAGCAGCAGGTGTTCCGAAATCGGCCTTCGCTGATGCTGTCTAAGTCTGCAAGGAATTTGTCAAACTGCTCAGCGATCAGCTCCTTCGGCATCTTCTCCTCCAAGAGATTCAGAGCTTGCCGACGGACCTCCCACCTTGGATCTGCGAGCAGCGAAAGCATTCTGTTCCGATGCTCCGTCAGCAGTCTCATAAGCAGTTCAGTCGGCATTTGAAGATTCAGGAGGTTGACAGTCCACAGTCTCACCTGCCAGTCGCTGTTGGCCAAGAGTGCCGCAATGTGGCCAGCATCCCACACCAACTCCCTGGCCACCTTAATGAACTCCAATACACGTCTTTTCCTCTCCCAGGCTGGACCGACAAAGCACAAGATCTTTTCGATGTTCGCTGCAGCCAGGACCAGTGCAAGACAGATGGCACCAGCCAAGAATGCTAAACATACAAGCATTTTATCTGCACTGCCCGGAAGTCAACACACACACACACGGCCCGATCGCTACACGGTCTAAACACAGACTTTGAGCCCCTGCGGACACGTCGCCCCGTTAAGGATTGTCAACAATGGGAACGGGTGCAGCCTGCGTAGACTACTACTGGCCCCGCAAAATCAGGAAACAAGGATAGGACAACTCATGTCAAAGATTTCGACACGCAATCAAGGCAAGCAAAGGACTCCCGACCTATCCTCATCAAACCCGGGCCTCTGGAAGCTCTCGTCTGACAGCCATCCATTGCAGGGCCATTTGGGGCCGAAGCAAGGGGCCGTCGTTCGCTTTGGCAGGGTTTGGGCTTCGAGCAGGGCTGTCCTAAGAGAGCGGTCTCCTGAGTGTGACTTCGAGGCAGTGGTGCATCGCTTGGACCTCGTTTGCACACTAGTCACGGGCCATGGAAATTCCGTCACTGAAGCTAAGGCACACCGCCCTTCACGAACACTGCCCCGGCAACGAACGGCACACCTCGTACCATCTGCCAGCTCCCCCTTTTCCCTGCAAAAAGATCGCTCGGAGGGCATTCCGCTCACTAGCCCATGAAGCCTCCGTCCTGCAAAGGGCACTGGGAGCGATTGCTCGTCTGTGGCCGACTGTGTTGCTAGCTCCGGGCTGCATGGGAGGACCGGACCGCTTGGGCTAAGATGTCGGGCTAAGAAAGATGGCCGGAAGATCGAGAATGGAGAAGGAGGCTGATGTTCACCAGGGAGTTGGATATTGGATCTGAAGCTAGAGCCCACCTATGTAAAAAAATCTAGGAACCGGCGCTGAGAAATGCATTTGCGGAAAAGCCCAGAAGACTTCCGCAAATCGCTGAAGGACCCGTCAAACGTACCACCTCCAAACATGACCGGGCACTTCCCGAATGCGAGCTACAGCGACTGTCACAGCGGCACAAGACTAGGACCCTGTGCCTTGTGGAAAACCAGCTTCCGCAGCCGGATAAAGGCAGGATCGAACGCGGCGACCCTGGCCAAGGGAATATAGGGTCTTTGATGGTAATTGGGCATGTTCAGGGGAGGGTGGTTTTGCCTAGGCAGGCTGAACCGACCGACCACCACGATGAAGCTCGGACCAACAGAGTACACGCATCTGCTTCGGCATTTTGCAGACTTCCAGGTCCAGGAAGAGTGAAGGCCCCCGACTTCGGCAGCCATGCCGGGAAGAGCCAGCAGGGCACGAGCCTGTCATCCTGCTCCATCTCAGCGAAGCCATCCCCACGGCCGAATCGGCTTTGCTGACGGCCCATCCTTCGCCTCAAGAATCCGTACACTTCGCGACTTGTCGAGAGGTCAAGCGGCTCTTGTCCAGCTTCATTCTTGGCGCTCTGGGGAAGGCCCTCGACGTCCACCTGGGCGTGGCACAGCCTCCGGATTGCCTGCCGCAGCCGCGACGTGGAGCCAGTTTCCTCCCTGTGCCTGCTTAAGCTAGCCGCCGGCAGCCGGCACGGCAGTGTCAATGCTCGAACATTCAAGAACAGCACATCGAGGAGGAGCGCAACAAACTGCTCAGAGTGTTGTTTTATCTGCACGCTCGAGAGCCGCGCAACTGTGACCAAAAGCGCGTCTTGTACTCCAGCCTGCACAGATGCGGCTTCATCCCTCAACAGTGGCAAGATCTTGTCCCAATGCCGAAGATGCCGCTCACCTGGCATCTGCGCATGCAGAAGGTTCCAGGTCACGTCCTTCATGGCACTGTCGGAATGCAGCAGTAGATCCAACAGTGTCATGACCTTCTGTTTTTGCTCCGCGCTCAGTGTGCTTTGTGGCTGCGTCGCCAAAACACTAAGCGCCCTTGGCGAAGATATCGTTAAGGGCTTGCTTGCCAGGTTTCTAATCGTCAAACATGAGTTTGGATAATGCTCTGAACTGTATCGTCTCAGGTAGTCGCCTGTTGCATTCCGCAGCTGCGGCCACGGCGCCTAGACCACCCACAGCAGCTATGAAGGCTTCCCAATGAGATGCCTTCCTGGAAGCTGCTGCGCCCAATACAGTCGACCAGCCCCCGACTGAGAAGTCTTTCTTTGGACCTTGGACTTCTGTCGGCATCTTCTTAAAAGAAATGGGCCGCAACTGGCCAACCACACGGCTGCCACTGGTGTATAGCCTGCGTCGCACGAACGTGGGCGATAAAAACGGAGAAGCCGGAAGGCACCATGCTGTGAAAGGAACGGGCCTGGAGGTCTCAGCTCCACCATGACAATCCTGACCTTGAACCGTGAGCTGCTGGCCAAATGGCTGGAGGTTCATAGCAGAGCCACTATTGTCACTACTACATCCTGGAGACAACTCCAGAAGGGAAGCGAGCGATACAGAGCTCTGATTCCTGTGCCGAGGCTTCGGGTTGTGCTCCGAGTCTGGGAATCAACTCCGCAAGTTCCACGTTACGGGCCTCAGCCGCCCGATAGGGGAGCCGACGAGGTCAGCGCCTGCAGAGCTCAGCTTGCGCTATTCGTAGCAAGTTACGATGGAGGGCGATTGAAGGTGGAACATTGGAGGTCTCATGCCGGAGCTTAGCGACACATGCCTCTTTCAAGGGTGCGGGATGTACCCCAGAACGAGAGCATTCATTGACCTGGTAAACTTGTAAACTCAAAAGCAGCCCAGAACCTTGGTTGAGCAGCAGTTTCGGGAAAGCAAAGCATGTTGAGCTTGCATCCTCCAAATTCGAGTCTTACTCTAGAACAACACTGAACTACATCTCAGCGTGAGGCGCGAGCGTCTAAACGAGCAGGATCCGAAGGCAAGAATCAGACCCACCTACTGTAGCATTCTGTCTGCATCCCTTGTCTCTTGGGGCAGCTTTTCTATGCGATTTTGAGGCAGGGCCCGGCCCAGCGTGATGAAGCTTCCGCTGGCCTTGCTCACGCGGAAGTCAGCTTCCGAGCAATCTGCAAGTAGTCCTCCATGCTGTGATAAGCAAACAGCCTGCTGAATGTCATGATCGACCCAGGAGGCTTTTCATCAAGCAGTCGTCTTAGTGATACCACATCCTGGGTTGCGCCAAACGCCATTTCAGAGGCAAGGCTCACCAACACGACCTTGCCAACGACATCGTACTTCTCCAGCATACGTGCCTTCGTTCTGTCGTGATTCTGCCGAAGTCGCTCGACGCACCTTTCGGCAAGTCCCACTCTGACTCCTTTGACAACTTCCTGCTTGAGCTTTGGCAGGACATCGACCAGCCAGGTCTTGCAGAGGGGCAGCCTGGGAACAGGGTCCCAGTCGTGCACCCAATGCTGCGTGATCGAGTGCAGATTCCGCCAAAACCTCGGACATTCATGCTGCGGTATGAGGACATGCGGAGCACCGAAGGTGCGGATAGCTGACACTTCAACCTTACGCGTCAACAAGTGGACGGCCATCACTTGGGCATAGCCTCCGCCGAGCGAGTGTCCACACAGGACCAACCGCTCCTCGGGTTGACGATGCTCTTCCAAAGCTCCCAGAACATCACGTACGACATGATTGATTTCATCTCCCTCCTGCTCGAGGGCGTGGGCGATCCCACTGTGTACACCCATACCATGCTCTCTGAATCTAGAACAGTCTGGCACGGCGCAGAGGTCAATCGCAGCATCTTGCACATCATCCGTACCTCGGAAAGCCGCATAAAGCACAGACCGCGATCTTGCCAGGAGCCACTGCACCGGACTCGCGCTACGACTCTTCTTTGTCGCATACAGCACGTCTACGGGCTGTCGCGGTGCAACTGCCGCCACCTCTTGCAGCACGACATCACTTCGAAAATCTGTGAGCATGATGTAGGCATGGCCACTCCACATGGCTTGCCTCTGGGCCAGACGTCGATGGGGATAGAGCCCCGGAACCCATGCCACAGCATAAACATCCACCAGAGTTTTCTCAGCATCACATCCTACAATAATATTCGCTACCTCGTCAGCCTCCACGCTATGGCTGGTCTTGCTGCTGTGGTCGTACACGAGAACGGGTCTGGACAACTGGTTGCGGATCGACACGACAGCCACCTGTGTCGGCAATAAGACCCTCGCAGCGTCCTCATCATACACGGCATGGCACAGGGCCGCGGCCATCTCAGCGAAAGCGTCGGACGCGAGATCAACGGGTACTGAGAAGCCGCTCGGAGAATCTACAAGCTCTCTGCCGGAGGCCAGTTCTGATTTCGAGGACGCAACATCGGAAGCCGAGGATTCCGAACTTGAGCGGGAATCAAACAAGGCAGCTAGCTGAATTGCGGACCCGAGCTTTGCCAACCACTCGTTGGGGGCCCGAGCCTCCCGATCTTGGTCTCTGGCACAGCAGTGGTTGTAGACTCTTTGGGCAGCGTGATGGCAGTTCGACGATGCAAGATGGTAGGGGCCCGTGCCGTGAGCTTGCTTGTAAAGCTCCTTCATCTTTAGCCCTCTCCGCAGGCTTCCGTCACTGAGGGAAAGCTGTGTCTTGTACATCTTCAAACCCTGAACACCCTTCAAGTTGCTGCTCAGATCTTGGCTTCCAACACAGATCCCATTTCTCTGGTGGGCCTGATTAGCTTGCGAGCCGGCCTTCTCGAGCACATAAGTTTTCGCTCCAGATGTGTCCGCGGACACAGTGACGACGAGGAAGGAGTGCAGGCCTCCACAATGACCGGCCATGCCACGGAGAGGCACCGTGTACCAGGTCATCTCGCCTACTTGTCTCAGGTCTGTCTGCGATTCGTCGAAAGCATTCCCGTAGCCGAACCGCGTCTCACTGAAGCCCATCCTGCTCCTGAGGAACCGATCGACTTCGCGACTCGCCGCAAGAGCCAGCGGCTCGTCGCCAGCTTTGTTCTGTGCCCGCAACACAAGCCCACACAGATCCATCAATGCTTCACAGGCTTCCAGGTGCCCAGCTTCGGCGGCCACATGCAGCCAGGTGTTGCCGGCTTTGTCTCTCCAGCCGGCAACGTCCTCGCTCTGCAGAACAGCAGCGAGGATGCGAGAGACCGGCAGCTTCAACAAGAGCTCGCCCAAGTCATGCTGCGGCCGTCTCTTCTTCAAAAGATCCGGAAAGATCTGCTCGAATCTAGTCAGGTCACCCCTCTTGTATAGAAGCCCGGCAAACTTCTGAGAGAGTTGGGTGACCAAGTCATTCGAAAGACGACAGCCATTTTGTAAAACGAGCTTCGAAGCTGCAGCCTGCACCGATGGGTCCTCGTGCTCCGACAGTGGCCAGATCTTCTCCCCATGCTCAGTGAAAAGCACCGCTAGCAGCCTGTTGTGCATCCGCCCCTGCAGTAGATCCAAAGTCCACTTCTTCACCTTGCACTCCGAATTCTCCAGGAGAGCTACGATCTTCCCGAAGTGCTGCGCACTCAGCATACCACTGGGCAGCTGCCCTTTCATGAACTCCAGGGCCGCCCTCTGCCGATTCCAGGGGTGCTCTTGGCTGGCAAGGAGCGCGACGATCCAGTCGATGAGATCCGGGAGGTGCTTCGAGGAGATCCGACCCGACAGGAAGCCAAAGGACCAGGCCTGGAGGTTTTGGGGGTTCCTGATTACACTTAAAGTATGTTATATACCCAAACCCTACTCTATTTATTAAGGCCCCTATACTAAAAGGACCAAGCCTGAAGCTCCGAGTCAGCGAGCAGCGCTGGCACGATTTTCGCAAAGTGCCGGGCGAGAATGTGGGCCGAGATCTTCTTCTGGAAGAAGTGCCGGCTGGATTTCCTGATGCTGGGGTGTGCGTCTCGCAGGTATCTGCGGAGTTCGGCGAACTGCTCAGCGATTAGCTCACTCGGCATCTTCTCCTCCAAGAGATTTAGTGCCTGCTCTTGCACCTCACACTTTGGATCCGCGACAAGCGCAAACAAAATCTCCCAATGCTCAGCGAGCAGCATGCTCGGCGCCCTCTGCTCCAATATTTCAATGGTCAAACGTCTCACCTGCCAATCGCCGTTCGCCAGGAGTGCGACCATGTGGCGGACATGACCTGTGCCCAACTCGCTCGGAAGCTGTTCCTGAATGAACTCCAAGGTCCGCCTTTTCACCAACCAGTCTTGACTTGCAAAGTGTGCCACGATAACATCAAGGTTTGCCATGAGCTGGCTTGCGGAAGTTCGCGATTTCAGAAACTCAAAGGACCAGAGCTGCAGGCGCGGATCTGCCAGAAGTGACGGCACGATCTTCTGGAAATGTTGCTCAAGAACGTCACTGGAGACCTTCTTTTTGAAGAGATTCCTGAGTGATTCTCTCTTGGAGGGATCTGCACTCGCCATCTTCTCCCGCAGGAGAGCCAAGGCCTTGGCGCTGACCTCGCAGCTGGGATCATCGATCAGAGCAATCACCCTCTCCCGGAACTCCTGGAAGAGCTCATCGTTTTTCAAGCGATCCAAAGCTCGAAGTCTCAGAGATGGGCTCGGATCTGTCAAGCTTTCCCAAAGGCTCAGCGTGGGGACCATCCTGGCTCGAGGAAGATGCATCGGATCTGCTCGGACCCTGGGAGCCCAGGTCGGTGCCTTGAGATAGGGGCAACAGCAGCAGCAGACGTGAGATCTGAGGGCCTAATTTACATCATGCTTGAAGGTTGGCTCCTGGGACAAGGTGTACTGGTGGCATCTGCAATTGCACCGTGAGTCTGAGTGTCTCTCATCGGTTCAAGCAGCCCGCACGCAAAACACACCGGCCTTGAAAGGACGTTCGCCCATCGAAAGGTCATGCAATCGTTCTTGGATCTGCTAGCAGGGACCTTCTGCTTCGGTCACTCCGCAGAAAAGCTTCTCATGACATCACCTGCGTGCTGCTGGCTCGAGGTTTTGCTACTTCGTGGGTCGAGGTGCTGAGCGCTTCGAGCCCGGACTCATCGGAAAGATAGAAAGTCGTGGCAAGCCCGCGTGCTGCTTGAAAATCATCGTCTCTCACTGGCGTCGACCTGGTCATGTGGGTGTCTGCTCTTCAACTCTTCGAGGACCGGGCACGAACTCTTTTGCTCCGAGATCGGAAGCGATGCATTAGCTTGGTGAGGGAGGAGCCTGTCCGACGTCTGCCGGGACCGCTCTAACTCTGAGGCTTTGGGGACCCCAAGCTTTTGGTGTGTTGGGCTAGAGGGTCCCGGCAGCACCTAACGGGGAATCGTCCTGAACACGATTAAAACGATACTACGTGAGACGTTCCGCGGCGCAACACACGCGACCGCGCTGTGGCTAATCATTGTCCACTCCTTCCCTCGTTTCCTCGTTCCGAATCTGAATCACTCCAAACTTCGGCGAAAACCTGGATGTGTCGCACGACCTTAGCAACGGCAGCATGACAAAAAGTAATCGACGTGACCCTTCCTCCACTTGTCAGGCTTGGAAACATCGACTTTCGACAGTGGAATGGCCCACCTCTGCTGCAACAACATCCTGCCAGAAAGAAGTCTCCGGAAAAAAGTGAATAAGTAGTGGGAACACTAACGAATGACAGCAACAATGAGTCATGACAATAACGGTAGGAACGGCGTATAATGGCGTGATCCCACAGTGTCAGCCAAGACATGTAAGGGCAGTGCTACAAGCATGCGACCGCCGCTGATCATGATCTTCATTTTGTTAGCAACTGCCCTTACTTCCACCCTCTTATTCTCATCCTTCTGCCCTGACGCCTGCACCCTATAAACCATAGGCCCCCAACTTACACCCTAAACCCTAAACCCTAAAACCCTAAACCCTGAACCCTTCCTTGACCCCACACCCTTAACCCTCAACCCGAAGAAGCTGTGGCCCTGGGCGGAAGCGATCGCTCCGCAGCTCGGCTCAGCGGCGTTTCTTCTTGCCCCCGCCGCGCTTGTCGCGCCGGACCTTCTCTTCAATAGGGTTAATAGGAGCCAGAAGCATAATTATGGAGGCTTCGAGATTTTCGCGCTTTTCTGCGAAGGCTGCAGAGCTTCAGGATCTTGGAGCTGCAGGACTTGACTCGTCAAGGGACCGAAGCAGCATTTTCGTCAGATTCCAGCGCAGTAGCCACCACCTTTCTGAGTGCCGGTCGCGTTCGTCGCCTGCGTCGCCATCATCCTCCTTCCTCAGAGGAGTGAGAGGAGAGAGAAGGACAACTCAGTGCGTCACCGATAACGACGGTCCCTGTCTGCCGGTCTTCCCATGTAGGAACACAGCTGCGCGTCAAGATACATCCGCCCTCAGATCCTCAACCCTGAACTTATTATTACATATTATTATATTATTATGCTGTTATATTAATATATTATTCTGTTATTATATTTTTACATTACTATATCATTAAAGTAGTATATTATTATATTATTATATCATAATATTATAGTATTCTAATAACCGGGTGCAAGGTGAGGCCCAGACCCTTCCTTGTCCTCGTCTTCGTCATCTCCGCCCAACGCCTGTCCGAGCTCTGAAAGCTAAGGGTTTAGGGTTTAGGGTTGAGGGTTTAGGGCGGAGAGGGTTTAGGGTTTAGGGTTTGGGGGTAAGCACAGGACTACGGGGAATCGAAAGCAAGGTCGACCACCGACTACATGGCCGGAGCAAAACCTGGCTGACTGAAACTGAGACCCCCTGAAACCCTGAAACCCTGAAACCCATGGCACCCGAAACCTCAAACCCTACCGCAGAC